ACTCAGCTAAGACTTTTTTTTTTTTGAGACAGGATCTCACTCCTGTGGCCCAGGCTGGAGTGTAGTGATGCCATCTCGGGTCCTTGCAGCCTCCACTTCCTAAGCTCAAGCGATCCTCCAGCCTCAGCCTCCCCAGTAGATGGGACCACAGGTGAGCGCAACCACACCTGGCTAATTTTAAAATTTTTTTGTGGAGACGGGGATCTCGCTATGCTGCTCAAGCTGGAATACTTTCTTGAATAAATGCCCAAACCAATTCTAGGGTAGTTTTCTAGCCACCTGTGACGAGTTATTCTGTCTTTTAATACTCTCAGTAGGCTGTTTGACAGCTGCCCCAGTGGCCTAATGGATAAGGCACTGGCCTCCTAAGCCAGGGATTGTGGGTTCGAGTCCCACCTGGGGTAAGACAACACCAACCTTTGGTGACCTGGGATAAGACAACCATAACTTTTGGTTGTCCAATGACATTTTATAAAGGACAAAGCATAGAGACACACAGGTAGAAAAACTTACAAGAATAAGAAAAGGCATGAATTTGGAAGAAAACCAGGGCATTAAACTCAAAGACACAGAATCTCTCAATCTCTCTCTCTCTCTCTCTAGGATGAGGAAAAAGGTAGGGCATGGTGGTGCATGCCTGTAATCCCACTTTTGGAGGCCAAGATGGGTGGATCACTTGAGTTCAGGAATTCGAGACCAGCCTAGCCAATATGGTGAAACCCTGTCTCTGCTAAAAATACAAAAATTAGCCGGGCATGGTGGTGCATGCCTGTAATTCCAGCTACTCGGGAGACTGAGGCAGGAGAATCACTTGAACCCGGGAGATAGAAGTTGCAGTTGGCCGGGCGCGGTGGCTCAAGCCTGTAATCCCAGCACTTTGGGAGGCCGAGATGGGCGGATCACGAGGTCAGGAGATCGAGACCATCCTGGCTAACACAATGAAACCCCGTCTCCACTAAAAATACAAAAAAATTAGCCGGGCGTGGTGGCGGCGCCTGTAGTCCCAGCTACTCGGGAGGCTGAGGCAGGAGAATGGCGGGAACCCGGGAGGCGGAGCTTGCAGTGAGCCGAGATCGTGCCACTGCACTCCAGCCTGGGCGACAGAGCGAGACTCCGCCTCAAAAAAAAAAAAAAAAAAAAAAAAAAAGAAGTTGCAGTGAGCTGAGATCGCACCACTGCACTCCAGCCTGGGTAACAGAGCAAGGCTTTGTCTCAAAAACAAAACAAACCAAAAAAGAACCAGGAAAAGGTCAATTTGAGGACAGGTAAGATCAAAATGCACATGCTCTGCAGAAGGGAAAGTCCCTACTGAAGCTAGTTTGCTCGAATGACCTCAATTACAAGGTGAATGCTGAGGCTTACTGTGTTGACTGTGTGGTCACCACAGCAGCTGTGTCCCAAGAACATGGTCACTTTCTTGACTACCTATCCTGCTTCACAAGCATGACAGGTGTGACCCACCATGCCTGACCAATGGCATTAATTACATTCACAATGTATGCAATAATCACCATTATTCTTTCCAAAACCTTTTCATTTCAAACGAATTCTGTAACCATTAAGCAATAACTCCCCACATCCCTTACCCAGCTGTTAATAACCTTTAATCTACTTCCTGTCTCTATAGATTTGCCTACTCTAGACATTTCACATAAGTAGAATAATACATTATTTGTTCTTTTGTATGTGGCTTCTTTCACTTAGCATAGTGTCTCAGGGTTCATCTACATTGTAGTGTGTGTCAGTGCTTCATTCCTTTTTTTTGAGACGGAGTCTTGCTCTGTCGCCCAGGCTGGAGTACAGTGGCGCAATCTCCGCTCACTGCAGGCTCCACCTCCCAGGTTCACACCATTCTGCCTCATCTCCTGAGTAGCTGGGATTACAGGTGTCTGCCACCACGCCCGGCTAATTGTTTTGTATTTGTAGTAGAGACGGACGGGTTTCACTGTGTGAGCTGGGATGGTCTCAATCTCCTGACCTTGTGATCACCCGCCTCGACCTCCCAAAGTCCTGGGATTATAGGCGTGAGCCACCAGCCGGCCTGTTATCAATTCTTTTGAGTACAAACCTAGGAATGAAATTGCTGGATTGTATGATAATTCTGTGTTTAGCTCCTGGGGGAACCACCCAACTGTTTTCCCCAGCAGCTGCATCATTTTACATTCTCATCAGCAATGTAGAGCTCTAGTTTCTCTACATCCTTGCCAACACTTGTCATTTTTGTTTGCTTGTTTAATGATTGCCAAATATGTGGAGGAAGAGGGGAACTCCTATCCTCCTCCATCTAGTCCTGGTGATAATGTCCATCACTGGATTCCCACATGGAATGGATTGAGTTCATGATCCAGAATGATGTTCTCCGTTCTCCCATGCAGAATGGTTGGTTCTGGTTTGGACACATGACCCATGAAGGGATGATCACAGCTGTACCTGGAGTTGAGGTTGGAGGCAGGGCTTGGACACTGGACCAAATTGAGGACTAGCTAAAATAGATGGGGTGGAAGCAGCTTTCCATAAGATATACCCACCAGTGTGCCATGTCAGCTTACCATTGCCATGGCAACACCCAGGTGTCACCACCCCTTTCCATGCAATAACTCAATGACCCAAACATTACTACCCCTTCCCTAGAAAGTTCTGCATAAACTGCCCCTTATTCTACATGTACTTAAAAATGGGTATAAATATGGCTGCAAAACTGCCCAGAGCTGCTACTCTCAGTATACTTATGGTGGAGCCCTCCTCTGCAGGAGCAGTCAGGGAGCTGTAACACCGCCTGCTGCTTTAGTACAGTTGTTTTCTTCTACCACTGGCTCGCCCTTGAATTCTTTCCTGGGCAAAACCAAGAACCCTTGCAGACTAGGCCTCACTTTGGCGCTCGTTTGTCCTGCATCAGTACAATGTTATTAATAAATAAACATTGGTAGAGAGAAGTTTCATGTGCCCTGTGGCTGCTAGTCTGGAAGGATGTGAATTTGGAGCTACTGGTGGACATCTTGCTACCTCAAGAGGAGAGGTAATCTGCAGAATGAAGCTGAGCAGAAGCCAAAACAGTAGTGAGATAGAGAAATACAGGGTCCTGATGTTATTATTCAGATCCCTGAATTTGGTCTTGCGCGAAACACACAGGCTTTGCAAGAAGACGCTTTGGATTTTGTAATGATATTAACCTGTCATTTCTCCCTACGCTGATGATTTGAGTTGGTTTTCTTTTTTTTTTTTTTTGAGACAGAGTCTCGATCTGTCTCTCAGGCTGGAGTGCAGTGGTGTGATCTCCACTCACTGCAAGCTCTGTCGCCTCCCGGGTTCACGCCATTCTCCTGCCTCAATCTCCCGAGTAGTAGCTGGGACTACAGGTGCCTGCCACCATGCCCAGCTAATTTGTTTTTGTATTTTTAGTAGAGATGGGGTTTCACCGTGTTAGCCAGGATGGTCTCGATCTCCTGACCTCATGATCTGCCCGCCTCAGCCTCCCAAAGTGCTGGGATTATAGGCGTGAGCCACCGCGCCTGGCCGAGTCATGAGATATTTAACATAAATTGCCTAATTTAGTTATTACAGCCCTACAAGGTGAATATTATTTCTCCACTCTATAGATGATGGGAGCTGGTGGTTCAGTGGAGGTTACTAGCTTTCCCAAGGCTATGCAACTGGTAATGGTGGATCTGGAAATTGAGTGCTGGTCTGTGAAAATCCAAATGTTATGTTCTTAATCCCAGTACAGCTTCACAGGTATCTCCCAACAAGAACACCATCCCAGCTGGGTGGGGGATATAATACAGGGCTGTGAGTTTCCTCTAGCAGAAGTGTTTTTGCCAATGATTACCTCTTAGGTTGCATCATTTTCAGTGTTGCCAAGTGCTGAGGTAGGAATTACGTATGGCAAAGCTTTATCGTCAGTGTTGAACACAAAAGAGCCAAGAAGGGGAAGGGGCAATTACTCTCTGCTTTTCTTAATGAGGCCCTCAGGGAATATGGCCCTAGTGGCCATGGAGGCTCCTGTAAAGAGCTTGCCCTGTGATTCTTCCAAACATCCTTCCTGCGTCAAGGGCTGAGTCTGTGCAGCCCAGCTCCTGATTCATGAGATACTCATCCTCAAAGCTCCAGTGACGAGTCACTCTCCCTCAGACCAATAACCTCTGGCCAGGTCTGAAAAAGGGAAGCCAACCCAGGACTTTGGGAGACAGTAACGACTGCTGCTCTTTCTGGGTAAGAATCAGATCAGTGGCCAGGCGCAGTGTCTCACGCCTGTAATCCCAGCACTTTGGGAGGCCGAGGCGGGCGGATCACGAGGTGAAGAGATAGAGACCATCATGGTCAACATGGTGAAACCCCATCTCTACTAAAAATACAAAAAATTAACTGGGCGTGGTTGCACGTGCCTGTAATCCCAGCTACTTGGGAGGCTGAGGCAGGAGAATCACTTGAACTAGGGAGTTGTAGGTTGCAGTGAGCCCAGATCTCGCCACTGCACTCTAGCTTGGTGACAGAGTGAGACTTTGTCTAAAAAAAGCAAAAAAAAAAAAAAAAAAACAAAAGATCAGTGGGACTTCACTGATAACTACTTGTCAGGACGTAAAGCCTCGGAGGGACACTCCTTCCTTTCCATTATGCAGAGCCAGAAGAACAGTCCTGAGCTCAGCAGCAGTTCCTTTCAATCACCCAGTCAGGACCAGTCTCTGTCTAGTCTGTTTGACATCCTGAACTGTGGGGAACACAAACTGACTGAATTTCTGCCCAGACCTCTGGGTTGTTCCATTTTAATTTTACAAATTGGACTCAGGGAGCTCAGTGGATATAGCCAAGAAGGTCTGGCTCAGCCTTCTGTAAACCTGAGCCCTGAACTTAGCAGTAGCAGTCCCAGCAGGGTTGACAATATTATCATTTACATCCTGCAAGCAAAATTCTACTGCCATTCCTGTGCCCCATCTTAACCAGCATTTTCCAAGGTGCTGCATTTCATCTTCTTTGTCTACCTCTGTGTCCAGGATCCCAGGCCCATGAGCGGGACAAACCAGTCGAGCGTCTCCGAGTTCCTCCTCCTGGGACTCTCCAGGCAGCCCCAGCAGCAGCATCTCCTCTTTGTGCTTTTCCTGAGTATGTACCTGGCCACCATCCTGGGGAACCTGCTCATCATCCTGGCTGTCAGCACAGACTCCTGCCTGCACACTCCTATGTACTTCTTCCTCAGCAACCTGTCCTTTGTGGACGTCTGCTTCTCCTCCACCACCATCCCCAAGATGCTGGCCAATCACATACTCGGGACTCAGACCATCTCCTTCTCTGGCTGTCTCACGCAGATGTATTTCGTTTTCATGTTTGTGGACATGGACAATTTCCTCCTGGCTGTGATGGCCTATGACCGCTTTGTCGCTGTGTGCTACCCCTTACATTACACAGCAAAGATGACCCATCAGCTCTGTGCCCTGATGGTTGCTGGATCGTGGGTGGCTGCCAACCTGAATGTCCTTCTGCACACCCTGCTGATGGCTCGACTCTCATTCTGTGCAAACAATGCCATCCCTCACTTCTTCTGCGATGTGACTCCCCTCCTGAAACTCTCCTGCTCGAACACACACCTCAATGAGGTCATAATCCTTAGTGAGGGTGCCCTGGTCATGATCACCCCATTTCTTTGCATCCTGGCTTCCTATATGCACATCGCCTGCACTGTCCTGAGGGTCCCATCCACAAAGGGAAAGTGGAAAGCCTTCTCCACCTGTGGCTCTCACCTGGCTGTGGTTTTCCTCTTCTATGGCACCATCATTGCTGTGTATTTTAATCCTTTGTCCTCCCACTCAGCTGAGAAAGACACTATAGCTACCGTGTTGTATACAGTGGTGACCCCCATGCTAAACCCTTTTATCTACAGCCTGAGGAACAGGTCCTTGAAAGGGGCTTTGAAAAAAGTAGTTGGCAGGGTGGTGTTTTCTGTCTGATGAAATAATCAAGACTGAATCTCATTCCCAAGGAAATTTATTTTTCACCAATTGAGTTTAATGCAGTAGTTGTTGCATTAAATGATGTTCTTGCTAGTGGCACATAGGGGGAGATCATATTACTTACACTAAGTTAAACTATTAATTATAATTTTTTTGAGACAGGGTCATGCTCTGTCACTCAGGCTGAAGTGCAGTGCCGCAATCTCAGCTCACTGCACCCTCCATCTCCCAGACTCAAGTGATCCTCCTGCCTCAGCCACCTGAGCAGCTGGGACCACAGGTGTGTGTCATATGCCTAGCTAATTTTTTTTTTTTTTTTTGAGATGGAGTCTCGCTCTGTCACCAGCCTGGAGTACTGTTGTGGGAAGTCAGGGACCCTGAACGGATGGACTGGTTGGAGCCACGGCAGAGGAACATAAATTGTGAAGATTTCATTTTAATATGGACATATATCAGTTCCCAAAATTAATACTTTTATATTTTCTTATGCCTGTGTTTACTGCAATCTCTGAACATAAAATGTGAAGATTTCATGGACATTTATCAGTTCCCAAAATTAATACTTTTATAATTTCTTATGCCTGTCTTTACTTTAATCTCTTAATCATGTTATCTTTGTAAGCTGAGGATGTACCTCACCTCAGGACCACTGTGATAATTGTATCTAACTGTACAAATGGATTGTAAAACATGTGTGTTTGAACAATATGAAATCAGTGCACCTTGAAAAAGAACAGAGTAACAGTGATTTTAGGGAACCATAAGGTCTGTCTGCAGAATTGGGCAGAATAACGCCATATTTTTCTTCTTGCAAAGAGCCTATAAACGGACGTGCAAGTAGGGGAGATATCGCTGAATTCTTTTCCTAGCAAGGAATATTAATAATTAAGATCCTGGGAAAGGAATGCATTCCTGGGGGGAGGTCTATAAATGGCTGCTCTGGGAGTGTCTGTCTTATGCGGTTGAGATAAGGACTGAAATATGCCCTGGTCTCCTGCAGTACCCTCAGGCTTATTAGTGTGGGGAAAGAAACCCAGCCCGGTAAATTTGAGGTCAGACTGGTTCGCTGCTCTTGAACCCTGTTTTCTGTTGTTTAAGATGTTTATCAAGACAATACATGCACAGCTAAACATAGACCCTTGTCAGGAGTTTTTTTTTTTTTTTTTTTTTGAGACGGAGTCTTGCTCTGTCGCCCAGGCTGGAGTGCAGTGGCGGGATCTCGGCTCACTGCAAGCTCCGCCTCCCGGGTTCACGCCATTCTCCTGGCCTCAGCCTCCCGAGTAGCTGGGACTACAGGCGCCCGCCACCTCACCCGGCTAGTTTTTTTGTATTTTTTTAGTAGAGACAGGGTTTCACTGTGTTAGCCAGGATGGTCTCGATCTCCTGACCTCGTGATCCGCCCATCTTGGCCTCCCAAAGTGCTGGGATTACAGGTTTGAGCCACCGCGCCCGGCCATCAGGAGTTTTTTTGATTTTGTCCTTTGCCTTGTGATCTTTGCCCTCTGCCTTGTGATCTTTATTGGCCTCGGAAGCATGTGATCTTTATTCTCCTTTTTGCCCTTTGATGCCTGTGATTTCTGTGACCTACTCCCTGTTTGTACACCCCCTCCCCTTTTAAAGTCCTTAATAAAAACCTGCTGGTTTTGCAGCTCAGGTGGGCATCACGGTCCTACCGATATGTGATGTCACCCCAGGATAAAATTCCTCTCTTTGTACACTTTCTCTTTATTTCTCAGCCGGCCGACATTTAGGGAAAATAGAAAGAACCTATGTTGAAATATTGGGGGTGGGTTCCCCCAACAGAGTGTGGTGGAACCATCTCAGCTCCCTGCAACCTTCACCTCCCAGGTTCAAGCAATTCTCCTGCCTCAGCCTCCCGAGTAGCTGGGACTACAGGTGTGCACCACCAGTGCAGCCCGGGTGAAGACTCACTGGCCTCATCCTCCTTTTATGTGTCCTCCGCAATGGTCAAGCATAAAGGGTGGGTCACAAAAACACTCAGGCAAAAGAACGGCAGAGTGAGGCCGGGTGTGGTGGCTCATGCCAGTAATCCCAGCAGTTTGGCAGGCTGAGGCAGGTGGCTCACTTGAGGTCAGGAGTTCGAGACCAGCCTGGCCAACATGGTGAAACCCTGTCTCTACTAAAAATACAAAATTAGCTGGGCGTGGTGGCAGGCACCTGTAATCCCAGATACTCAGGGGGCTGAGGCAAGAGAATTGCTTAAACTTGGGAGGCAGAGGTTGCGGTGAGCCAAGATGGTGCCATTGCACTCCGGCCTGGGTGAGAGAGCAAGGTTCTGTCAAAAAAGGAAGGGGAGGGGAGGGGAGAGGAAAAAAGAAGGGGAGGGGAGGGGAGGAGAGGGGAGGGGAGGGAAGAAAGACAGAGCCGAGTAAAATGTGAGTACTACAGCGAGTAGCAAGCATTTCAGATGAGCCTCGGGCACTGGCTCGCTTGTAGCCCAGGTGGTGCAGAGGTGAAGCGAGGTTGAACCACGGGAACCGGCTAGGAGCACCCTCATTGGCTGCCTGACTTAGGGGGCGGGGTCAACTGGAGCCAGGTCTTTGACATCGGGGAAACAAATCGACATTTGGTCTTCCCTCCATCCAGACCAACTGCCCCTGGCTCTGTTCTCAAGTCAGCTCCCACCCACACCTTCAAGAACCAAGTCAATGCCACCACCTCCTCCATGAAGCCTCTGGATTCCCTCTTCCGGCTGTCAGAGCTCTGTTTTTCTTTGGTTTATCATTCCCTCTTCACAAGAGCTTTCCACAGACTAGGAGACCTACAGATCTGAATACACACACGACTCACTTTGTATCTCGGTGTCCAGCACTGCTTCTAGACTAAAGGTGATCGTCAATTTTAATTGAAAGGAAAAAATATAGGTGAATGCATATTGCCATACATTTTAATTTGGAGAGAGTTACTTGACAATAAGAAAGAAATAGCAGAGTGAAATGTGAGTACTACAGCAAGTAACAAGCATTTCAGATGAGACTTGGGCCCTGGCCCGCTTGTAGCCCAGGTGGTGCGGAGGTGAAGAGATGCTGAACCGTGGGAACTGACCAGGAGCACCCTGATTGGCTGCCTGACTTAGGGGGCGGGGTCAAATAACAAAAAATCATTTTGTTAGCTGAAAGCTAGTGTCTACCTATGCACTATGGTACACCAAAAATCATAAAGAAGAACATTAAAGTAACCTGTATCCTTGCAGCTCCAAGGTAATCACAGTTAGGCACTTGGAATATTGTTTTACAAAAGTTGGCTGCAATCGATTACATATAATTTTGAGTTCTGATTTTCCACTTCCTACTTCCCATGTCAGTGGAGTCTTAGAAATGTGACTTTTTTTGGTTTTGTTTTTGTTTTTGAGACAGAATCTCACTCTGTCACCAGGCTGGAGTGCAGTGGTGCGAACTTGACTCACCGTAACCTCCGCCTCCTAGATTCAAGCAATTCTCCTGCCTCAGCCTCCTGAGTAGCTGGGACTACAGGAACACACCACCACGCCCAGCTACTTTTTGTATTTTTAGTAGAGATGGGGTTTCACCATGTTGGCCAGGACTGTCTTGATCTCCTGACCTCGTGATCCACCCGCCTTGGCCTCCCAAAGTGCTGGTATTACAGGCATGAGCCACCATGCTTGACTCAGAAATGTGATTTTAATGGCTGCATAATATTTCATCACAGGGACGTGATATAATTCACCCATTCCCCAACTCTGAACAATTTCAAGTGTTTCTGTACTATAACAAACACTGCTGCACACTTCCTTGTGTGTGAATCGTTGTTTGTATTTATTATTGCCACAGGTAGCCTGAGTGATCTATTTCTCCAGCTTGAAGTAAAAATTAATGTCACTTTTCCTTTGTTATTCATTATTTCTGCCTAACCATACCCTGCCATTACTACCAGCATCTCCCTGTGGGTGTCAAAAAGCACCCCAGAAGTTCACTCAAAGGAGTCAGTCAGGTGGAGAGAGGGAGAGAATGCGGAGCTGAAAGCATCCACTGGCACGATCCTGTGAGTTGCTGGTACACAGCGTAGTCCCTGCCCTTCGATGTCTGAACAGCTGGAAGCCTGTGTGCTGCAATATAGATGCCTGTGCCCCATCCCTTTGGGGGTCACACTGGGACCCACCTAAGTTCAGATCACAGTTATCTGTGTTCAAACTCATGTTATTCTCCATTAAAATCTGACTCCGGGCCGGGCGTGGTGGCTCACACCTGTAATCTCAACACTTTAAAAGTTCAAGGAGGGAGGATCATTTGAGCCCAGGAGCTTGAGACCAGCCTGGGCAATATAGTGAGACTCCATCTCTACAAAAAATTAAAAAATTAACTGGGCATGGTGGCTCATACCTGTAGTCCCAGCTACTTGGGAGGCTGAGGTGGGAGGATCACTTGAGCCCAGGAGGTTGAGGCTGCAGTGAGCTGTGATGGCACCACTGCACTCCAGCCTGGGGAATAAAGCAAGAGCCTGTCTCAAAAAAAAAAAAAAAAAAATCTGCCTCCAGATATATACCCACTCCCTGGCCCTGGGGCTTCCAGTCCCACTGTGTCAAACCAAGTTTCCCCAGGAACACCCAGAGCAGATCCAGGCTTATTCCTTTGAGATTCCCTTTGGGTCCCTGGGATCTTTTTATGTGGAATTGACTTCAATCTATTTTTTTCTCATGATATAGCTGTAGCTATAAAATATAATTCAAATAGGTCTATACGAAGATTATAATATTTGAATTCTGACTGTTTCTTATTAATTTATTTGATTTGTGAAGTCTAATAATTAACATTTTCAATTCTTTTCTTTCTATATGTTAATAGCTTTTACTTTTTTTTTTATTTACAGGATGATTGCAGTAAGCTTTTACTTTTTTTTTTTTAACATCTTTTTTTTTTTTTTTTTGAGATGAAGTCTCACTCTGTTGCCTAGGCTGGAATACAGTGGCATGATCTCGGTTCACTGCAACCTCTGCCTCCTGGGTTCAAGTGATTTTCCTGCCTCAGCCTCTTGAGTGGCTGGGATTACAGACATCCACCACCATGCCTGGCTAATTTTTGTATTTATAATAGAAATGGGGTTTCACCATGTTGGCCAGGCTGGTCTTGAACTCCTGACCTCAAGCGATCTGCCTACCTCAGCCTCCCAAAGTTCTGGGATTACAGGCATGAGCTACCATGCGGAGCCAGCTTTACTTTTTGATTTGATGTTTGGTTATGGAGGTGATGTGGTTTGGTTGTTTGTCTCCACCAAATCTCATGTTGAAATGTGATTCCCAGTGTTGGAGGTGGCACCTGGCAGGAGGTGTTTAGTTCATGGGGGTGGGTCCCTCATGAATGGCTTGGTTCCGCCCACATGGTAATAAGTTATCATGAGCTCTGATTGTTAGAACCTGGGAGCTTCCCCTTCTCCCTCTTGTTTCTTCTCTCTTCAGGTGACACACCTGTTCCCACTTCACCTTCTGCCATGATTGCAAACTTCCTGAGGCCTCACCAGAAGTAGATGCCCACACCATGCTTCTTGTACAGCTTGCAGAACCATGACCCAAATAAACCTCTTCTCTTTATCAATTACCCAGTGTCGGGTATTCCTTTATAGTAGCGAAAATGGACTAACACAGAAGGCCTGGAGGTTGGTGAATGTTATCCATTGATTATGAATTATATTAAATACCTTCTAGTAACAGAATGATCTTTGTCCTCTTCAATTCTTGTTTCCGCTTAAACTGTACTTTGGTTAATATTAATATTACTCATTCTACTTTCTTGTGTTTGCTCATTCTCTCAGACGTTCTGAAACAGTTTACTTGGATGAAGGGCTCCTTCCCTCTGTATCAAGATCTTCCTTTTCAAAGCTTTCAGCATGTGAGAAAAAATTAGGCCGGGCATGGTGGCTCACGCCTGTAATCCCAGCCCTTGGGGAGGCCAAGGAAGTCAGATCACCTGAAGTCAGGAGTTTGAGACCAAACGGACCAACATGGTGAAACTGCATCTCTACTAAAAATACAAAAAAGCTGGGCATAGTGGTGGGTTCTTGTGATACCAGCTACTCAGGAGGTTGAGGTGAGAGGATCCCTTGAGCCTGGGAAGTGGAAGTTGCAGTGAGTGGAGATCGTGTTACTGCACTACTGCCTGGGCGACAGTAAGACTCAAAAAAAAAAAAAAAGATTCTGTTTTTCAATTTGTCTTTTGTCTATCTTACACACTTTTGTCTCTGCTATTCCATGTATATTTTTATCTACTAATTTTCACCTTTGAATGTCCCTCTTTTGAAGATGGGTGAGTGGGGCTTTCGGTTTTGTAAGTGATACTTGCATTATGTTAGGATCCATCCTAAGATTTTCAGAAGGGTGTGTTTTGGGGAAGAGGTGTACATATTAATATTGCAAGCCAGAGGATGACTCTAGTGGACATTTGTTAGACTTTGTGGCTTCCCAGCATCTGGGCCCACTTCCAAACTTTGTAGAGTCCCCTAATTTATGGATGTTGTTGGGAAGACAGCTCACCTCCCACTATAGAAATATGTACACCAGGCCAGGCGCGGTGGCTCAAGCCTGTAATCCCAGCACTTTGGGAGGCCGAGATGGGTGGATCACGAGGTCAGGAGATCGAGACCATCCTGGCTAACACGGTGAAACCCCGTCTCTACTAAAAAATACAAAAAAAAAACTAGCCGGGCGAGATGGCGGGCGCCTGTAATCCCAGTTACTTGGGAGGCTGAGGCAGGAGAATGGCGTAAACCCCGGAGGCGGAGCTTGCAGTGAGCTGAGATCCGGCCACTGCACTCCAGCCCGGGCGACAGAGCAAGACCCCGTCTCAAAAAAAAAAAAAAAAAAAAAAAAAAAAAAAAAAAAGAAATAAGTACACCAGAAACTTGCTTCTGAGTGTCTCTTTCAGCTAGAATGAGAACAAGTGACAGGCTCTCTGCCCATCAGATATACCTGCCCTGCATTTGATACAGAGAAGGGGAGACCAGGAGGAACTTGCTCTGGCAGTGGCAGCCATTGTAGGGACCTGGATTCCTGGAATGTGACAACAGTAATGCTAGGGGTAGTAGCGAATGTCTGTGAGAAGAACATCAGAAATGCAATCTGCAGCATCTAGTGCTTGGTGGCAGCAGCACTGGTGTCCTCACTAGCTGGCTTGGAGTCATGATTTGGGGCACTGTTAACAGATGCATTTTTTAATTGTTGTTGTTTCGGTTTTGTTTTTGTAGAAATGGGGTCTCACTATGTTGTCTAGGATGATATTGAACTCCTGGCCTCAAGCAATCCTCCTGTCTTTGCCTCCCAAAGTGCTGGGACTTCAGGCATGAGACACCACGCTCAGTCATAAGACTGGTTTTTTAGTTCTCCTGAGAAAAGAGTCAACAAAATATATTGCTAAAGGGTGGGTAGGGTGGGTGGGAAGGTAAGATTTTAAATTCTAAGGAATTGGCACACGTAATTGTGGAGGCTTGGCAGGTTCAAAATATGTAAGGTGGACCAGAAGGCTGTAGACCTAGCAAAGAGCTGGTGTTGCAGCTCGAGGCCAAAGGCAGTCGGCTGACTTTTTCTATTGTGGCCTTCAACTGATTAGATAAGGCCCACCCACACTATGGAGGCTAATCTGCTGTACTCAAATTCTATTGATTTAAATGTTAATCTCATCTTAAAAATACTCTCCAAAAAGAAAAATAAGAGAGAAAGAGAGAAAGCGAGAGGGAGAAAGAAAGAAAGAAAGAAAGAAAGAAAGAAAGAAAGAGAGAGAGAGAGAAAGAAAGAAAGAAAGAAAGAAAGAAAGAAAAGAAAAGAAAAGAAAAGAAAAGAAAAGAAAAGAAAAGAAAAGAAAAGAAAAGAAAAGCAAAGAAAGAAAGGGGGCGAGGCGCAGTGGCTCACGCCTATCATCCCAGCACTTTGGGAGGCCGAGGCAGGTGGATCACGAGGTCAAGAGATCGAGACCATCCTGGCCAAAATGGTGAAACCCTGTTTCTACTAAAAATACAAAAAATTAGCTGGTCGTGGTGGCGTGCGCCTATAGTCCCAGCTACTTGGGAGGCTGAGGCAGCAAAATCGCTTGAACCTGGGAGGTGAAGGTTGCAGTGAGCCGAGATTGCGCCACTGCACTCCAGCCTAGTGACAGAGAGAGACTCCATCTAAAAAAAAGAAAGAAAGAAAGAAGAAAGAAAAAAGAAAGAAAGAAAGGAGGGAAGGAAGGAAGGAAGGAAGGAAGGAAGGAAGGAAGGAAGGAAGGAAGGAAGGAAGAGAGAAAGAAAGAGAGAGAGGTTGGGTGGGTAACTCACACCTGTAATTCCAGCACTTTGGGAGGCTGAGGCAGGTGGATCACGAGGTCAAGAGACCGAGACCATTCTGGCCAACAAGGTGAAACCCTGTCTCTGCTAAAAATACAAAAATTAGCTGGGCATGGTGGCGTGTGCCTGTAGTCCCAGCTACTTGGGAGGTTGAGGCAGTAGAATCTCTTGAACCCAGGAGGCGGAGGTTTTAGTGAGTCAAGATCGAACCACTGAACTCTAGCCTGATGACAGAGTGAAACTCTGTCTCAAAAAAAAAAAAAAAAAAAACAATGGGACAGGGAGAAGGTGATTGGATTTATACATTCTAGCCAAGCACGTAGTGATGGCTTTGCTCAATCCTGATTCTAAATACTCTGGTTCAGCCAGCTATGGTGAAGGGGAGGTGGTATAAACATGACTCCTGGGGCCCCACCACACTGTGCCTATGCAGATTAGGGAGCTCTAGACCAAGAAAAGGGTAAACCATGTGAGTTGGAGGGACATCCCAAAATATATCCATCCTAGGGGTCTAGAGCTCATAAATCACAGCATCCTGGGTTCTCCTGGAGAAAACCTCCCTTAGAATCAGACTACCCTTCATCTCAAACATTTTCTTTTTCCTTTTTTTTTTTTTTTTTTTTTTGAGACAGAGTCTTGCTTTATTGCCCAGGCTGGAGTGCAGTGGCATGATCTCGGTTCACTGCAACATCCACCTCCTGGGTTCAAGCAATTATTGTGCCTCACCCTCCCAAGTAGGTGGGACTACAGGCACATGCCACCATGCCTGGCTAATTTTTGTATTTTTAGTAGAGACAAGGTTTCACTGTGTTGGCCAGGCTGGTCTTGAACTCCTGACCTTAGGTGATCTGCCCACCTTGGCTTCCCAAAGTATTGGGTTATAGGCTTAAGCCACCGTGCCTGGCCCCAAATATTTTCATGAATTAAGCCCATATCAGTAATGTGCTTTTAACGTTTCCTCCTGTAAAATGGAAAACATGAAGCATCGCTAATCTCTCAAGATGGCCAGGCAGAGGAAAGCAAGGGCTGCACAGAAAACAAGGGACAGCCCCATATCTCAACAGAGGCAGTGATACTGCAAAGGATTTCATGACAGAATTTCCACATCTATGGGCACAACACCAGATCACAAGGTGAGGAGGTTTGTGGTTCCAAGGAATTTTGTCTGTGATTTATCTCTATCAGGATGGCTTCATTTCTAATTATCTTCAAGTTTTGATCCAAGAGTTTTATCTAAACCTTAGTTAATATTGTATGTCATCATTGTTTGGTCCAAAGGGGCCAAAATTAGGTGGGACAATTATGTTCTTCTTGTCCCTAATGAGGCTCTCAGGGAATCTGGTCCCAGTGGCCAAAGGAGGTTCCTGCAAATGCCTGCTCTGTGATTGCCCGAAACAGTTACTTACACAGAGGACTAAGGCCATGAGTCCCTATTCCTCACACACTCGGGACCCGCCTGTGCTTCCAAGACATTCCAACTCCCACAATAAGTAGAAGCATTGACCAGTTATGTAGAAGTGAGGAACAACTGATAGTGACAGCACCAACCTTCTCCAGGTAAGGTCGCAGAGGTGAAAAATTAAATATGTGTTGGCTCAGATGTGAAGTTCTTTTAGGAATCTTCTTTTCTACATCATCCAGATACAGGAAGTAAATAGTACAGTACAGAGAAATAAAGTATAGGAGTCCTGAATCCATCAGTTGTCACTTGAGATTAACCCAGTAATCATCAGTCGTTCCTCCAGTCTCTTTATGAGCTGCTAACTAGTTGGGTGGAGAACACATACTCGGGACTCAAACCATCTCCTTCTCTGGCTGCCTCATGCACATGTATTTTATCAGTGAGCTTGCTGACATGGACAATTTCCTCCTGGCTGTGATGGCCTATGACCACTTTGTCGCTGTGTGCCACCCCTTATATTACACAGCAAAGATGACCCATCAGCTTTGTGCCCTGCTGGTCACTGGATCACGGGTGGTTAACAGCTTGAATGCTCTGCTGCACACCCTGCTGATGGCTCGACTCTCATTCTGTGCAGACAACACCATCCCTCACGTCTTCCGTGACGTGACTCCCCTCCTGAAACTCTCCTGTTCAGACACACACCTCAATGAGGTGATGATTCTTACTGAGGCTGCCCTAGTCACGATCACCCCATATAATTCCCTAGTCATGATCACCCCATATAGGCTTCCTATATGCACATCGCCTGTGCCATCCTGAGGGTCCCATCCATGAAGGGAAGATGGAAAGCCTTTTCCACCTGTGGCTCCCACCTGGCTGTGGTTCTCCTCTTCTATGGCACCATCATATCTCTGTATTTCAGCCCTTCATCCTCCCACTCAGCTCAGAGAGATATAGCAGCTGCTGTGATGTTCACAGTAGTGAGTCCCATGCTGAACCCTTTTATCTATAGTTTGAGGAACAAGGACATAAAATGGGCTCTTGGCAAAGTGGTTGGCAGGAAGACATGCTCTTACAGATGGACGTCCTGTGGAATTATCTGTCATTTCCAGGCATAGCAGTCTTTGCCAACTCATTGAAATGTAGCAGTCTATCTGTCAAAGTGTCTTCAAGGAACTTAGAATAAATACATCCAATAGATACTTATCAATGAACTCTGACTTAACTACAACCCTGCTCTCTTAAGTAGGTAATACATTTGTTTCTAATTATGATATTTAAAATACTTTTACATAAAAGTCAAACTATTCCTTTCCAAGTAATCATTTTGAAAGGCTATATGTTGGCCAGGCATGGTGGCTCACACCTGTAATCCCAACACTTTTGGAGACAGCGACAGGCAGATCACCTGAGGTCAGGAGTTTGAGACCAGACTGGCCAACATGGTGAAACCCATCTGTACTAAAAATACAAAACTTAGCCAGGCGTGGTAGTGGGTGCCTGTAATCCCAGCTGCTTGGGAGGCTGAGGCAGGAGAATCACTTGAACTCGGGAGGTGGAGGTTGCAGTGAGCCGAGATCCGCCATTGCACTCCAGACAGAGCAAGACTCCATCTCCAAAAAAAAAAAAAAGGCTATATGTTACAAATATTTTTGCACTTTCCTGTTGTAAATGCTATTAGGCTCTACAGCACTGGTTTTCAATCATAGCTGCATTTTAGTATCATGTGGGGCACTTTGAAAATATACACAGCACATCCTCCAACAACGTTTTGTTCAATGACTTTCTCTTTTTCTTTTTTTTTTTTTTGAGACGGAGTCTCGCTCTGTCGCCCAGGCTGGAGTGCAGTGGCCGGCTCTCAGCTCACTGCAAGCTGCGCCTCCCGGGTTCACGCCATTCTCCTACCTCAGCCTCCAGAGTAGCTGGGACTACAGGCGCCCGCCAACTCGCCCGGCAATTTATTTTTTTTAATTTTTTTATTTTTTAGTAGAGACGGGGTTTCACCGTGTTAGCCAGGATGGTCTCGATCTCCTGACCTTGTGATCCGCCCGTCTTGGCCTCCCAAAGTGCTGGGATTACAGGCTTGAGACACCACGCCCGGCCTCTTTTTATTTCAATAGTTTTTGGGAGGCAGGTCGTTTTGTGACACGGATAAGTTCTTCAGTGGCGATTTCTGAGACTTTGGTACACCCATCACCTTAGCTGTGTACACAGCTAATATGTAGTCTTTTATCCCTCACCCCCATCCCGCCCTTCCTCCTGAGTCCCCCAGATCCAATACGCCTTTGCATCCTGATAGCTTAGCTTGCGTCGTTTGTAGTTTCGTATAAATTTTAGGTTTGTTTTTCTGTTTCTGTAAAGAATGTCATTGGTATTTCGATAGGGATTGTAGGGAATCTGTAGATTGCTTTAAGTAGTATGGACAATTTAACAATATTGGTTCTTCCAATCCATGAAGATAGAATATCTTTCAATTTTTGTGTGCCTTCTTCTATTTCTTTGATCAACATTTGATAGTTTTTAATTGTAGAGCTCTTTCACTTCTTTAATTAATTTAATTCCTGGGTAGTTAATTTTATTTGTAGTTATTGTAAATGGAATTACGTTCTTGATTTCTTTTTCAGATTGTTCGCTGTTGGCATAGAGAAATGATTCGGATTTTTGTGTGATTTTGTATCCTACAACTTTACTGAATTTGTCTATCAGTTCTAATAATTTTTTTGGTGAGGTCTTTAGGTTTTTCCAAATATAAGGTCATATCATCTGCAAACAAGGATAATTTGACTTCTTCCTTTCCAATTTGGATGCCCTCTATTTCTTTCTCTTCTCTGATCACTCCAGCTAGGACTTCCAGTACTATGTTGAATAACTATGGTGAAAGTGGGCACAGGTTCCAGATCTTAGAGGAAAGGCTTTTAGTCTTTCCTCATTCAGCATAATAAAAGCTGTGGGTCTAAGGGCCCTTTGGAGCTGAAAGTCACCCTGCTCTGGATCTCCTTTCAGATTGCTCGTTATGAAGAGTGAGCCTAGAAACCCTGCCTAAGGAAATCCGAGGTTCAATCTGGGTAAAGCCAATAGAGGTGAAAAATGGAGTCGCTAGAAGTTCTCTGTGGGCAAAAATGTTGTGCTGGGAAGGCTGAGGCTGTTCCTTTTGGCCATAATTCACACTCCTGGGCCTCACACGGATTCCGAAGAATACTTCATAATTTTCAGTGTCTCCTCCTCTAATTTGACTGCCTTACTTTATGGGGGTATATTTAACATAATGTGTGTCTTCGATTTCAAAGAAATAAATTTGCTATTCATTCTGTCCAGGATGCCTCACCTGTCTTCTTTCTGAGTAGCAAACTCTACGTAAATCTTCCAGATCCAAGTTAACGTCTCCTGCTCTCTGAAGCCTTTACTAATTCCCGTAGGCTGAGACAGCCATGTCTTCTCCTGGGTTCCCTCAGAACACTCTTATTTGAATTATTGTACATGCAAGACCACCCAGTTCGTTTATTGCTGCTGCTTCTCCTAACTTCTGCTTCATCCTCAAAGCCCTCTACCGATGTGAGATGCAGAGGACTCAGATATACACTGTGCCCCTCAGATACAAAGCTTGGCTCCTGACAGAGATTACTTATGCAACCCACTTTTTTTTTTTTTTTTTTTTTTTTTTTTTTTTTAGAAAGAATCTCGTTCTCTAGCTCAGGCTGAAGTGCAGTGGTGCAATCTCAGCTAACTGCAACCTCCGCCTCCCAGATTCAAGCGATTCTCCTACCTCAGCCTCCTGAATAGCTGGGATTATGGGTGCCCGCCATCACACCCCACTAATTTTTTATATTTTTAGTACAGATGGGGTTTCACCATACTGGCCAGGCTGGTTTTGAACTCCTAACCTCAAGTGATCCGCCCACACTGGCTTCCCAAAGTGCTGGGATTACAGGTGTGAGCCACCACGTCCCGCAGCAACCCACTTATACTGAATGTGAATGAATGAACATCATCTTAACTTTCAATTTGACATCTTTAATCAGGCTAGAGGCTTAAAAATTATATTTTGGGAAAAACAATATAATATTTACATTCTAGAAAAGATTTCAAAAAATATAAGACAGAAAATTAAAGTAACATATTGAAACATTGTTAAAAATACTTTGGTAAAAATATTTTGGTTGAAAACAATTTTAACCAGAGTTGATTTCAGGTTATGTATACCATTTTGCATCCTGATTTTTCCACTTACCATTTCCCATGTTGTCAAATACCTTCAATTTTGATGTTTACAGTTGTGTGACATTTCATGATATGGATGTATTGTAATTTATTTGGCTTAATGCCCACCAACTTTGAGCAGATTCAATTCCCTTACACATGTAAATTACATTGCAGTGGACATCAGGCCCACACAACTTTGTTTGCATTCATTAACATTTCCACAGATAACCAGTAACATTTCAACCACAAGGGCAAGTATTGGGTCATATTCCCTTATCTAGTTATTTCCACCCAATTCCACTGGCCTTTATTATCAGAGAGTCTCACCTCTCCTGTCGTTGGCAAAAGATCCCAAAGCTCACTCATCCAATGGAGTCGGCCATGCCCAAGGTTCATGAATGCCACGTATTCACTTGAGGACTGTTCACATAGTACTTTTGCCCTTTTTAATCTTTTCTTTGCTTAAATTTGAGAGGAGAAAACGATAAAGAACTGTCAATTCTACATAGGCACACAATCAAGATGAAATTACCTCCTTCACAAATGTCTTCATTTTAAAACTTTAAAAATTGAAGTATTCCAATATGCTTGAATGTGTTTGTAACTCACTTTTATTATTTAACATTTGCTGCTCAATTTTCCCTTCAGGGCTCTGGTTGCCTTTGCTGTCAGCAACCAAACTTCTTGCTGTCAGCTCGTTCTGGGATGGCTTCAGAGGCAGAGAGGGGACTCTCTGGAGATCATACCACTCCCAGGTAGACAACATTCAGTGACTGATCCCTGGGAGGTATAAAAGCCCTGACATTTCTGCCCAGCCCAGTACAACTCTGATGGCCCATTCATCTCCAGAGCTGTTCATGGCTGCCTCTGGGTTTCACTTTCTTCACTGCCCAATCCCCTTCTGGCTCCTACCTCCCACCCAAAGGCATTGATGGTCAGTAAACATCTCTACCCCAAGTTCCGCCTTAGCATGTGCTTCTGGAGAACCCAATGTGAGACAACGTTTTAATAACAGTAACAACAGCATGACAACAGTGAACAAGAACAGCTATGATGAAGGGCAGGCGAGCTCCAAAGTGGGGCATAGCCTGCGAGGGTTCTTGGCTTTGCCCAGGAAAGAATCCAAGGGCAAGCCAGAGGTAGAAGAAAACAGCTTTATTGAAGAAGCAGTGCTACAGCTCCCTGACTGCTCCTGCAGAGTGGGGCTACCCCTGAGGCAGAGAGCAGCAGCTTAGGGAGGTTTTGCAGTCACATTTGTACCCACTTTTAATTGCATGTAGATTAAGGGGTGGCTTATGCAGAAATTTCTAGGGAAGGGATAGTAACTTTTGGGTCATTGGGTTATTGCCATGGGAAGAGGCGGTAACTCTGGGATGTTGCCATGGCAATGGTAAATTGACATGGCACATTGGTAGGCGTGTCTGATTGAAAGCTGCCTCTGCAGGGACCCTGTTTTAGCTGGTACTCAATCTGGTACAGTGTACAAGACCCATCTCTAGAGTCAAGTCCCGCCTCCTACCTCAGCTACACCATGTTGCCTTACCAGAGATTAAAAGCCAGGGGCTAATCCATTTGCCGTATTACTAACCATTCTTTGAAAACATCACTCGGTATTTTATTTGAAGAGATAATTTTGCAAGATACAGTGAAGCTATCCAGTCATTTCACCTGATTTCTCTGTGTGATTCACATTGTTACTATTACTTTCTTTTTAAAACTTATGATGCCATCAGTTTCTTAAACACCATTCTCTGCTTGTTTCTTGTTTCCTTGCCCACCCCCCACTTTTTTTTTTGAGACAGAGTCTCACTCTGTCGCCCAGGGTGGAGTGCAATGTCACCATCTCAGCTCACTGCAACCTCTGCTTCTTGGGTTCAAGTGATTCTCCTGCCTCAGCCTCCCAAGTAGATGGGATTACCGGCACCCACCACCATGCCTGGCTAATTTTTGTATTTTTAGTAGAGATGGGGTTTCACCATGTTGGCCAGGCTGGTCTTGAACTCCTGACCTCAGGTGATCCACCTGCCTCGGCCTCCCAAAGTGCTGGGATTACAGCCATGAGCCACCACGCCCAGCTGCCCCATTGGTTTTGTCACCTTCTCCTCTTCCATCATCCCCTATGTTCCTCCTGGGCTTAATCCTTGGACTTCTTTCTCACTCTATATTCTTCCCCTGGCCAATTACATCCACTTTCGTTTCTATAACTGAACCTGTATATACTGTTGACTTCTCAATCTGTATCTGCCAGACCTCCATTTGGCCTGTAGACCCATGATGTCCAGCTCTTGGGCTCCTCCAACTGAATGTCTTATATGACTTCACACTTAACATTTCTTAAATGGAACCCAGTATCTCCCCACTGCTACCATCAACACCACGACCCACACTAACATGCACAGACACACCATATACTTCTTTTCTGCCTACACTGCCTATCTCAATTAATGGTACCACCATGTGGCCATCCTCTTACCCCCTCCCTTATCCCACATATTCAAACAGTCACTAATTACTCTGCATGCTACCTCCTTAACATCCTTCAAAATTATTTCTTACTGTAGTGGGTAGAATTGTATCCTCCCAAAATATATGTTCAAGTCCTAACTCCTAGTACCTATGAATGTGACCATATTTGGAATAGAGTCTTAGCAGATGTAATCAAGATGAGGTTATGCAGGATATGGTAGGCCTTACCCCAGTGACTGGTATTCCTATAAGAAGAGGGAAATGGCCAGGTTCAGTGGCTCACGCCTATAATCCAGGCACTTAGGGAGGCTGAGGCATGTGGATCAGGAGTTCGAGGTCAGGAGTTCGAGGCCAGCATGACCTACATGGTGAAATCCTGTCTCTACTAAAAAGACAAAAAATTAGCCAGGCGTGGTGGCACACGCCTGTAATCCCAGCTACTTGAGAGGCTGAGACAGAATTGCTTGAACCCTGGAGGCAGAGGTTGCAGTGAGTCAAGATAATGCCATTGCGCTCCAGCCTGAGCAGTAAGAGTGAAACTACATCTCAGAAAAAAAAAAAAAAAAAAAAAAAGAGAAAGAGAGAAATTTGAACACATAGAACCCCATGCAAAGACACAGAAGACACTCAGGGATAATGCCATGTGAAGATGATGGCAGAAACTGAAATGATGCATCTGCAAGACATGGAAAACCAAGAGTTGCTGACTGCCAAAAGAAGCTAGAAGAGAGGCATGGAACAGTCTTCGGAAGAAATAAATGCTGCCGACCTCTTGATTTTGGATTTCAAGCCTCCAGAACAATGAGATAATACATTTCTGTTGTTTTTAAAATCTAGTTTGTGGTACTTCATTACAGTGGCCATAGGAATACATCATCCTAATAGAATTGTTTGCCTTATCCTTCTCAATGCCTTGTACAGCCTTCGGCTGCTGTTGTTTGCATTCCTCTTAGGTCTTCTGCCATGAGCTTATAAAGCCTTTGGAAGCCTTAAAAGAAAGATCAGATCATTATTCACATTTGTGCATGTAAGTGCTACGTACTGGGTTTGGTTCAAGTAAAGTGTATAATGTTTCACGAATAATGAACAAATAGAAGGAATCAGTACCCCGAGGATTTTTTTGTGTGTCTTTCTCCTTGTCTTCTCCCTATCTTGAAACTAAGCTGTATGCATGAGTGCAGGGGCCCAGTTTTATCACCTTGTTCCTGGGATGTTCTAGTTGCTATACGACTATTGTTTGCCTAAATAAATGACTACATGAAAACGAATATGATGTGGAAGTCACTAGAGAGAAAGATGGAAAGCTTCCTAAAGGAGATGATGGGCTTGGCTCAGTTCTCCCCCACCCACCTTGTACCAAAGTTGCCCAAGCCATATTAAAGCCTGAAGTGAAAGGAAAAATACATACCATCATACACATGTTTTTATGTATTTTTTTAAACAATTAGTTTTTCCAGAACACTTAAAAGAGTTAAAAAAAAAAATGGAAAAACGATTGGATGAGGTGGCTTATGCCTGTAATCCCAGCACTTGGGGGCCCGAAGTGGGAGAATTGCTTGAACCCAGAAGTTCAAGACCAGTATGGGCAACATAAAATTTAAAAAGATAAAAAAATTGAAAAACCGAAAAAGTAGCTACATTAAAACTCAAACTACCGGGCCAGGTGCGGTGGCTCACGTCTGTAATCTCAGCACTTTGGGAGGCTGAGGTGGGGCGGATCACGAGGTCAGGAGATCCAGACCATCCTGGCTGACATGGTGAAACCCCATCTCTACTAAAAATCCAAAAAATTAGCCGGGTGTGGTGGCGGGCACCTGTAGTGCCAGCTACTTGGGAGGCTGAGGCAGGAGAATGGCGTGAACCCGGGAGGCGGAGCTTTCAGTGAGCTCAGATCGCGCCACTGCACTCCAGCTTGGGTGGCAGAGCGCGATTCCGTCAAAAAAAACAAAACAAAACAAAAAAAAAACAAAAAAAAAAAACCCAACTCAAACTATTTTAAGCTTCACTGATTTGTACCCAGACAGGATCTTGTTTTTTTCACTCAGGCTGGAGTGCAGTGGTGCAATCATGGCTCACTGCAGTCTCAACCTCTCCAGCTCAAGCCATCCTCCCGTTTCAGCCTCCCAAGTAGCTGGGAATAAAGGTGTGCCAGCACAGCCAGCTTTTTTTTTTTTTTTTTTAAATAGAGACAGGGTCTCGCTATGTTGGCCGGGCTGGTCTCGAATTTGTGGGCTCAAGCTATCCTCCTGTCTCAGCCTCCAAAAGTGCTGAGATTACAGGCGTGAGCCACCACGCCCGGCCTCAAACCAAAATATTTTAAAATACGGTCGCAGCTTTATAAGGAGGATACCCTCTGAGAAATGTGTTGCTCTTGGGCTGCAAACCCGAAGAGAGTGTTACTGTACCAGTCCGTGTAGGCAACTGCGACACAAACATTTGCATATCTAAACATATGTAAACACAGAAAAGGTGGAGTGAAATTGCGGTATTATAATCTTAAGAGAACCATAGTCGTATATGCGGTTTGTTGTTGACCGAAACATCATTTGGGGGCCCACGACTGTATTACATTCCCAGCGCCAGTGGTAGCAAACATCAACAGTATTTTCAAAATCTAATTATTTGCTTACCTTGGTTTCAACTGAAAGAATTGCCAGAGTATTTGACAATGTCTTTTGACCAAATGAAGAGCTAAAATATAGCTTGTATCTTACTGGTCTTTGCATTAAGTTTGCTTTTTAAAAATATCGCATTAAAATATTTTTTTTTTTTTTTTTGAGACGGAGTCTTGCTCTGTCACCCAGGCTGGAGTGCAGTGGCCGGATCTCAGCTCACTGCAAGCTCCGCCTCCCGGGTTTACGCCGTTCTCCTGCCTCAGCCTCCCGAGTAGCTGGGACTACAGGCGCCCGCCACCTCGCCCGGCTAGTTTTTTTGTATTTTTTAGTAGAGACGGGGTTTCACCGTGTTAGCCGGGATCGTCTCTCGATCTCCTGGCCTCGTGATCCGCCCGTCTCGGCCTCCCAAAGTGCTGAGATTACAGGCTTGAGCCACCGCGCCCGGCCTGCATTAAAATATTATTTATCTTCATTACTAAATTTTTTTGGCCCCAATAAGTTTTGCGCGTGCTTCAGTTTTGCCTGCGCGAAATCGGGAGTCTCCCAGACGCAAACGACCTCTCCCAGCAAGTGAACAGCCCCTGGCTAGTCCACCACGCGCAGGCGCAGGGCGGCAGGGACGAACCCGGAAGTCCCTCCCTGAGAAAGCGCCGCACAAGCCCTCAAACGGGACCAATCCGAGGCTGCGTCGTCCAGCTCTCCTTGCCCCGCCCCCTGCAGGTTTTTCTTTGCTTATCCAATAATAGAGGACTATTTTCTCCGCTGGCGCCCTCCTGTCCAATTACATCGAAGGGGGCGGGGCCTAAGCTCGGCGTCCTCTCTGTAAAGAAGTGCGGCGCCATATTTCGCCTGGAGTACTGCCGCCAGGAGTCAGCCGCTTGGGTCAGGGTTGTGCGTTGGCTCTGGTTTTTCTTTTTTTCTTTCTCGTTCTTTCTTTCGTTCTTTCTCTCTCTTTCTCTCTCTGTCTCTCTTTCTTTTCTTTCTTTCTTTCCTTTTTTTCTCTCTTGTGAGACGGAGTCTGGCTTTGTGGCCCAGGCTGGAGTGCGGTGGCGCAATCTCGGCTCACTGCAAACTCTGCCTCCCGGGTTCACGCCATTCTCCTGCCTCAGCCTCCCGAGTAGATGCGACTACAGCCTCCCGCCACCTCGCCCGGCTAGTTTTTTGTATTTTTAGTACAGACGGGGTTTCACCCTGTTAGCCAGGGTGGTCGCGACCTCCTGACCTCCTGATCCACCTGCCTCGGCCTCCCAAAGTGCTGGGATTACAAGCGTGAGCCACCACGCCCGGCCTAGTCTGGATATCTTAAAAAGGCGAGGTTGGCTGAGGAGCCAGCAGTGCAGAAATGGATGTAGGTGGGTCGGGTTCTCTTCTTCTCAACCTAAGCCCTTACTTAGGGCTTATAATAAGGTCTGAGGACAGGCATGGCTTGGGTGACTGTTAGAAATACGTAATCTCAGGCCTCCTGAATCAGAATCTTCATTTTGATAACATCCCTAGGTGATTTATGTGCGCGTTAACGTTTCAAAATGGCTGCCATACGCTTCCCAAGATTTTGTGTTTAGGAGACAGTGTTGACATCTGCATTTGGCTGTGCAGACGGTGGCCTATACTGCAAACCTAATGAAGACAATATGACTTGAGACTTGTGAGTCACACTCTGGATCTTTAATGACCTCTTAGACATCACTGGTCACCTAATCAGGATGATAAAACGAAAGTTGTGATGTGGGGTGCTATAGGTAGAAAACCTACGGTGAACATGGGTGCTTGAGAATGTGCAGAAGCACCCAGGAAATGTGTAAAAAGAGGTGTTCGGTCAACCTGAGGTGGAAAGAAAAGGCAGAATGTGTATTAGGGATGCATGGGTTTATTCACCAACTTGGCATCCCACAGACATTGTCTCTAACCAAGGAACCCAACTTATAGTAAAAGTGACGTGGTAGTCAGTTTCCAAGATGACTCTCAATGATGCTAGCCTTGTGTAATCCCTTCCTACATTGAATTCGTCTGATAGACTCAGCAATAGTGGATATAAGAAATGATGTATGACATCTGGAGCTGGGTGGTACAAGATACTGTAACTTCCATCTTGCTCTCTTGAAGCACTTGCTCTGGGGGAAACAAACTATGTGTGAGAACATGTCTCATTAGCTCTATGGAGAGGTCCATGTGAGAAACGGAGGCTTCCTGCTGACAATAATGTGAAGGAGCCATCCTGGAATCCCATCCTTCAGCCTCAGTCAGGCCTTCAGATGACTGAGCTGCTGCTGAAAACTTAACTGCAATTTCATGAGAAACTGTGTTCCAGAACCATTCAGCTAAACAACGGCCAGATTCAGGACTCACAATATCTGCGTGAGAGAAATGTTTACTGTTTGAAATTGCTAAATTTTAGAATACTTTGTTATGCAACAATAGGTAATTAACACAAGGGGTCCGACTGGTGTGCGCGGGATTCATGGGTATTGTACACCATCAACACAAGCAGCTGACGTTATGGCATAGTGAGATGGTTTTTTAAACACTCAGTTTTGGCATCATTTGAAGCTACCCTATAAGTTTTGGGTGCTGTTTTACGGTTATTGTAAGATTCATACCAGTGGACAATATATGCGGAACTTTTTCTCAGCCAGGAATTTATAGAGCAAGGAAACGAGGGGTACAAGTGGACATGTCTTCTTGTAATACCTAGTGATTTACTTGCAGAATTTTGTTTCTTATCCTGGAAACACCGGACTTTGTAGAGACTTCTTGCTGGCCAATTTGGGCTCCATTTGTTACTGAATAAACCACCAAAAAGGGGATTCTAACATTGTTATGGCTTTGACTATCAACAGAACATAGTTCTGCAGCTTCACAGGGGTAGCAAAGAGGATTATGGATAGAAAAATCTCAGAGAATTCTGGAGTTGACATGTTCATTGATAACATGAAAAACTGGAACAATCTTAAACATTATAAGCAGGACTATAAGGAGGCCAAATCTCTCAGACATGAAAGTTTTGGGTGATTACGTCAGATTAAAAAACAACCTGGAACAGCTGAGACATTGGCTAAAGACAAGGAAAAGGAATTAGCTTGTGGACGAGAATAATTATTAATATCAACTAAGGGTTTGTGGCTACCTGCAGAAATAAAGATTACAGTATTTGTTCATATTTTCCTCCTTTTTATCCTTTCTGTTTTCTCCATATTTTATATACACAGGATGTGTAGTTCTTGGTTAGCTTTCAAGCTGGATTCAGAAGTTTCAGAATGTCAGGATGGGATCACGATTGGAGTAGAGGGGATCCTGTTATGGACCTTGATGGAGTAACTGATGGGACTTTGCATTGTTTCCTATTGTGGGAAATATAGCTGCACTATGTTAGGCCAGATTGTTTCTTCGGGGTAAATTGGTAAGAGGGTTATGTATTCATATGCAACTGAAGGGATGGATTTTAGTGAGCATTTATCATGTTTTTGGCTTCTGAATTTCTGCAACTCCTTCCAAAGCTTAGGTAATCTGTTGCCTCATAACTATGGGGAAAATAACTTACTTCCTATAAAACAGGAAATCCAGAATAACTGATTTCCCAGTCTCTCTTGCCCCAAAGATGTGGGCATGTGACTGCCCATCAGATACCCCTGACTCAGCCTTTGGCACAAGGAAGAAGAGACCAAGAGGAACCTTTTCTGGCAGTGGTAGCCATTGCAGCAAGATAGATTCCTGGGGCAGCAGTGGCAGCAGTGCTACTAGTGTCACCTCATGGCCAGTGATGACTGTGTCAAAACTATGAACGGCAACATTTATGCTTGGAGGCAGCAGCTGCATTGGTATTATTTTTTCACTATAGCTGCTGTGTGGTCTTTCGAGCCTGGTTCTCCAGCTGCCCAGGGTTTTTGAAAGGTATTCATTATTATTTTCGTGAAATCCTTTCCTGCTTAACTCAGCAAGAGCTGGTGTTTGTTATTTGCAACCAAGAACTGCGAATGAGGACAGAATGTAGCCAGTCATTAGAAAATGACTTGAACTGTGAACTGAACAGCCATCCGTACTTTCTCCAGCTCTTCTCTCTGTGTGTTTACATCTTTTGCTCTTATCTATAGACGTTTGCTTTTTATCCATCTATAAGTCAGCCGAAAGACAGTTGCAGCCTTCTGGGATTACTCGTTACAGGCCAAGTACTAGTGAGTATGATCCGTGGGCCCTCGGTCCCAGTTCCAATTGCCCTAATCCAATCATGAATCCTCACTGGGAAGAGGATGATAGAGTATAAACTGGGCTGCTGGAGTCCATACACCTATGGATTAGGGGGCCATTTTCAGAAAAGGCTGACCCAGTGTGAGCTGGGAAGGCATCCCTAAATGAAGTCTACTTTAGGAACATGGAGTTCTTCAGTCATGGCATGCTGTGCATTTCCTGATATATTCTCCCATTACAAAAAGGGTATCCTTTACATCAAATGCTTTAAAAGATTAAACACAGGCCGGATACGGTGGCTCACGCCTGTAATCCCAGCACTTTGAGAGGCTGAGGCGGGCGCATCACCTGAGGTCAGGAGCTCAAGATCAGCCCGACCAACATAGTGAAACCCCGTGTGTACTAAAAATACAAAAAGTAGCTGGGCGTGGTGGTGCACACCTGTAGTCCCCCCTACTTGGGAGGCTGAGGTGGGAGAATCACTTGAACCCAGGAGACAGAGGTTGCAGTGAGCCGAGATCATGCCATGGCACTCCAGCCTGGGCAACAGAGCTAGACTCCGTCTCAAAAAAAAAAAAATTAAGCACAACTCTGCAATTCCACCCTTACACCTGCCCCACCCCAGCCTCTGCATCCGCATCAGCAAATGCATCAAGTCAATGCAGAAAATGACCATATATGTGAAAGAAAAAGGAAGGGTTCAGATAACACTGCTATAATCTCAGCTTCTGAGCTAGGAAGTTAAGAAGAACAACTTTCTGATAACCAACTTTTCAAACCTGTAAACATAAGCCCAGATCAGCAAAGTGATGCAATTTGAGGTCTCAGTGAATTTTCTTTGGGACTTAGCTCCACCAAGATTGCTTTATCTCCAAGTTCTGACCCAGTAGTTAGAGAATATACTTTGCCATCATTGCTGGGTACCAAAGGACCAAGAAATAGGTGGGATAATTCATTTCTGCTTGTCTCTAATTAGAGACTGTCAGGGAGTCTAGTCCCAGTGGCTATGGAAGCTACCGTAAATACCCGTTTGTGATTCTCCCAAACATCCTGCACAGAGGGATACGGCCATGAACATCTGCTCTTCACTTGCTCAGGACTTGCCTGTATTTCTAAGACTTTGCCATCCTTAGAATAATTAGGAGCATTAACTAAGTTCTTTCAAGGTAAGATTATAACAGCAGATATATATGACTAATGACTGGAGTTCTTTGAGAGAGCGCCTTTTCTAAATATGCCACATCCAGGGAGAAATAATAAGAGTCCTGAATCCATCAGCTGGAGCTTGACACAGACATAGTAATAATCAGCTCTTTTGCCTCTCTGTGAGTGCCTAGGGGGTGGGAGAAGCCTGGAAATATTAAAAGAGACCTGCATAGTCGCACAGGAGGGCTGTGTATGGGTCTGCATGTTGTTTTGTGTTATATTTTATAAAATTGAAAGAGTGAGTATAGGAGGACCCACATCATCCAGGACTGGACATTGGAAGTTGGGGGTGTAGGGACGAGGGGCAGATCCTAACTGAGTGACCCTAATACAGGTTTGTTAACATGGCCATGGTTGAAGCTTGACTTGTTGCGTCTGGAGCCTCAGCTTCTACATTGCTGATCTCTGTCTGTCTTATCTGCATCTGGGATCAGGCCCATGAGCAGGACAAACCAGTCGAGCGTCTCTGAGTTCCTCCTCCTGGGACTCTCCAGGCAGCCCCAGCAGCAGCATCTCCTCTTCATGCTTTTCCTGAGCATGTACCTGGCCACCGTCCTGGGGAACCTGCTCATCCTGGCCGTCAGCACAGACTCCCGCCTGCACACCCCCATATACTTCTTCCTCAGCAACCTGTCCTTCGTGGACGTCTGCTTCTCCTCCACCACCGTCCCCAAGATGCTGGCCAATCACATACTTGGGACTCAGACCATCTCCTTCTCTAGCTGTCTCATGCAGATGTGTTTTCTCTGTATGTTTTCTGACATGAACAATTTCCTCCTGGCTGTGATGGCCTATGACCGCTTTGTCACTGTGTGCCACCCCTTCCATTACGCAGCAAAGATGACCCATCAGCTCTGTGCCCTGCTGGTCACTGGATCACGGGTGGTTACCAACTTGAATGCTCTGCTGCACACCCTGCTGATGGCTCGACTCTCATTCTGTGCAGACAACACCATCCCCCACATCTTCTGTGATGTGACTCCCCTCCTGAAACTCTCCTGTTCAGACACACACCTCAATGAGGTGATGATTCTTACTGAGACTGCGGTAGTCATGATCACCCCATTTCTTTGCATCCTGGCTTCCTATATGCACATCGCCTGTGCCTTCTTGAGGGTCCTATCCATGAAGGGAAGATGGAAAGCCTTTTCCACCTGTGGCTCCCACCTGGCTGTGGTTCTCCTCTTCTGTGGTACCATCATATCTCTGTATTTCAGCCCTTCATCCTCCCACTCAGCTCAGAGAGATATAGCAGCTGCTGTGATGTTCACAGTGGTGACTGCCATGATGAATCCTTTTATCTACAGCCTGAGGAACAAGGACATAAAAGGGGCTCTTGTAAAAGTGATTGCTGTGAAATTCTTTTCTGTTCAATAATTATATGGACTAAGAAATTCCTAGAAGGAGCTAATTTCTGAGATAATCCTGTTTATTTTTTCTACTGTATGAAACTTAGCATTATGTGTTTGTTTTGAGACGGAGCCTCACTCTGTCACCCAGGCTGGAGTGCAGTTGTGCGATCTTGGCTCACTGCAATCTCTGCCTCTTGGGTTCAAGAGATTCTCCTGCCTCAGCCTCCTGAGTAGCTGAGATTACAGATATGTGAAACCAATTTTTTTTTTTTTTTTTGTATTTTTAGTAGAGATGGATGGGGTTTCACCATGTTGGTCAGGCTGGTCTCGCACTCCTGATCTCAAATGATCCACCCGCCTTGGCCTCTCAAAGTGCTGGGATTACAGATGTGAGCCACCACGCCTGGCCAGCGTTTGTTTTTATAAGAGAAACATCTGGTATCTATTTTGGGAGAACAAAACCCTTGATATAGACTCTTCAGGTTAAAGATGGAAAGAGATCCTTTAATTAAATGACCCAACAATTCCAATTGTCAATGCCCTCCTGCCAAAACCAAGAAGGAACACACCTGTAGTTCAGTAAGTTGGATTTACTACTCATTATAACAAGGGAGAATACACAGCATTGGAAATAGTGAGATGTCTCATTGGAAGAGTCCTAAAAAGGACCTCTGCTTTTGTAATGGTGAGGAATTAGGAATGAGTTTGTGCTCTGGAGTAGATGCCATTACAGAATAGGGATAATTCTGAAAGGGTATCTTAATATATTTTATCTAGAAGGAAAGAAGAGGCCAAAGCTGTGATTGCCAAAGGAATAGCAGTCACTCATTTCAGCCAGCATAGGGGGATGTTTGGTTATTTTTGTGGCTATGACAATGTCATGTTTTTGTGATGAGACATCATTGCAGAATGGTCTTGCTTTGTTTTGCTCTAGCACAGTCAGAGTGTGGCCTTATTAGATACTGATGTTCAGTGAAATTCTCTATGTTTATCAGTAGAACACAAAAACCTTGCTGTGAGGGCCAGGCCAACTCCTATCAGGGTTGTTTACTCTTTCTCACAACAGAGACCTTGACACGAACACATCTGATGGAAAGATCAGACTTTTGTTGGGGCAGGAAGGGGAGGATTTATTTATTTAATTTTTTTTAAATTTTATTTTTAGACAGAGTCTCGCTCTGTTGCCCAGGCTGGAGTGCAGTGGCGCAATCTTGGCTCACTGCAACCTCTGCCTCCCAGGTTGAAGTGATTCTCCTGATTCAGCCTCCTGAGCAGCTGGGAATACAGGTGCGTGTCACCACTGGCTAATTTTTGGTATTTTTAGTAGAGCTGGGTTTTCACTGTGTTAGCCAGGATGGTCTCAATCTTCTGACCTCGAGATATGCCAGTCTCGGCCTCCCAAAGTGCTGGGATTACAGGTGTAAGCCACTGCGCCCAGTCAAGAGAAGGATTTATTTAGAGTTTCAGAAAGCCCTAATTCTGCCACTCGTTTGAGCAGGCACTCTCACACTGTCATGCTGGAGTCAACCTCCCATTTATTCTGATTTTATTTTATTTTTTAAAGAGACGAGCCCAGCACTTTGGAAAGCCAAGGTAGGAGGATCACTTGGGCCCAGGAGTTTGAGGCCATCATGGACAACATAGCAAGACCCCGTTTCCACAAAAATAAAAATAATTAGCTGAGTGAGGTGGCATGTCCCTGCAGTCCCAGATACTTGGGAGAGTTAGGTAAAAGGATCTCTTGAATCTAGGAGTTCAGGGCTGTAGTGAGCTATGATTACAGCTCTGTACTCCAGCCTGGGTGACAGAGTGAGACCCTGTTTCTTTAAAAAAAAAAAAAAAAAAAAAGGATGTGGTCTCAGTAAGTTGCCCAGGCTTGTCTCTAACTCCTGGATTCAAGGAATCCTCCCACCTCAGCTTCCAGAGTAGCTGGGACTACACTCACATGCCACCATGCCATCTTGATACTGCTTTTTAGATTTTAAAAATAATTTTTTTTTTTGAGACGGTATCTCACTCTATAGCCCAGACTAGAGTGCAGTGGCACAATCTCATCTCACTGTAACTCCGCTTCCCCCTGGGTTCAAGCAGTCCTCCTTCCTCAGCCTCCTGAGTAGCTGGGACTACAGATGCCTGCCACCACACCCGGCTACTTTTTGTATTATTAGTAGAGATGGGGTTTCACCATGTTGGCCAGGCTGGTCTTGAACTCCTGACCTCAGGTGATCTGCCTGCCTCGGCCTCCCAAAGTGTTGGGATTACAGGCGTTAGCCACCACACTCGACCAAAAATTTTTATTTTTTTTTTTTGTAGACAGGGTCTCACTATGTTGCCCAGGCTGGTCTTGAACTCCTGGCCTCAAGCCATCCTCCTGATTCGGCTTCCCAAAGTGCTGGGATTACAGGCATAAGCCACCATGCCTGGCCTCCCTCTGCTCATTTGATACACCTAAAATGATATCTTGTTCTTTCAATTTATAATTCTTAGATTATGTAAGTCTGAACATCCTTTCATGTTTTTCAGCCACTCGTTTCATTATCTAAAAATGGTCTGTTTCTGTCTTGTTACTGTCTGTGTGTCCCAGAGCCCTCATTCTCTTCTAGAATCCTTTGGTTCCTGGAGCGGTCAGTTTGTAGCCAGGTACACATGTGCGAGAGATTCTGGACCTCTGTCCGCTTTACCTCCAGGAAACTCCATGGGCTGTGAGCCTAGCGCTGCGTCTTCAGGGGATTGATGTTTTCTGTAGTTACTTACTTATTTATGAGACAGAGTCTCGCTCTGTCTCCCAGGCTGGAATGCAGTGGCGCGATCTTGGCTCACTGCAAGCTCTGTCTCCCGGGTTTTACGCCATTCTCCTGCCTCAGCCTCCCGAGTAGCTGGGACTACAGGCGTGCACTACCTACGCCCTGCTAAATTTTTTGTATTTCTAGTAGAGACAGGGTTTCACCGTGTTAGCCAGGATGGTCTCGATTTCCTGACCTCACGATCCGCCCGCCTTGGCCTCCCAAAGTGCTGGGATTACAGGCGTGAGCCACCGCGCCCGGCCTATTTTCTGTAGTTACTACTGGAATTGGATCTTTGGTCTCTTACATGTTCCAACTCTCGCTCTACCGCTGTAAAACTATTAGCTGTTGTCTACTTTTTCAGTTTAACTGGTGATCAGGCTCCTTAGGTAAGAGAACTTACTCATCCGACAACTTTCCAGGGGCTCTCGAGTTAGGAGGCCGTACCTGGTCCTGGTCGGGGCACTCCTCTCAGTCCCACCCGGCCCCACTGGTGCGGAAGGAAACCCTGAGGCCCGTGCCCTGCCCTCTGGGACACTGGGTACGGATTGACAGCAAACCTGACCGTGGGCACCTCCCCAGCGCAGGAGATGGTGTGCGTCATGGTGGCTTCACTCACCTACACTTAAAAAAACAAAAGCTACTCAGGAGGCTGAGGCAGGAGGATTGCTTGAGCCTAGGAAGCAGAGGTTGCAGGGAGCCAAGATCGCGCCACTCCAGCCTTAGCAACAGAGCCAGTCTCAAAAAAAAGTGTCTTGGGTACTGTGCCACGGCTGCATGAGGACTGATAAAAACACCCGACTCTGGGCAGGGGTGCCAAAGAGTGAGTGAGTGGAGACTCTCACCACTCACTGCCTGGCAGCTATTTTTCTGGGTACACAGGCAGGTCCCCTGCACATGGTAACAGCTTGCCGGCTCTGGAAACACAGTTTGGGATCCCAGTCCTAGAGCACTGGCCAGAATTTCAAGTAAGCGAGTAACATTGTGGGCAGCCAGTTTTGTTGGCTTTGCTGGCTTTACAGGGTACTTACTGTTGGCTTGAAATATAACGTTGGTAAAGACAGTTTTTTGTGGACTTTCTGTGTTGTGGAGGATTTGTTTTTAAATTATGACTCAGGACTGAACTGTATCATAGAATGTCCTTCTTTCAGAATGCTTTGTGCCAAAACAAGAAACTTCAGAATTACATGTTAATAACAACAACAAACAAAACAAAAAAGACCAGTAGGCAGAAGGCAAGAAACAAACCTATTCTTTGTAGATGGTGTCATTTTACCAAAAGTTGTAACAGAACTAAACCAAGAAACTATTGAAAATTTACAACAAATTAACAACATTCAGTAAGGTGACTAGTTACACAAATATGTAATAAAAAATAACTTTCCCATGTAAAAGCAATAATCAACTATAAAAATATAATGGAAAAAACTACAGTAACAAAATTGTGTAAAACGTGAAGAAAATTAGAAAAATTTTCACAGGAATATAATACTCCAATAAATACAAAGGCATGTTTCTGGATGGGAAACATACACTATAATTTTTCCCAAATTATTTATAGGATTTCTTTCTTCCAATCAAAACACCAATGTATAACTTCCAGAAACCTAAAGCAAGTAAAACTGATCAAGAATCCATAAATCGCGCCACAGGATTGGTCCCGTAAAGGCACCGCTGGCCTTGCTTCTAGGCAGAGGACAGGAAGGTCTGGATATCAAGAGGCTGAAGACAATGAATACCCACTACAGTGAAGACACCTGGAAACCTGTCTCTTGAGGGGCAATGTGAGCTAACCACTATAGACGTAATTTCTAAATATACAACACTTTGCCTTGTGAGGTAGTGAACACCCCATTGCCAAAGGTCTGATGATGGCATAGAGGGGACCTAAGCATGTGGTAAGGTTATTGATGAGACATGGATCCAAGCCAACTTTTTCCTGCCTCCAGGTCAACCCCTCCTCTCTGGGTCTTGGGGTTTCCTTCCTAGCACATGAGATCTGGGCTCAACAGAGGGACAAGATTCTGAAATGCTTTTCTAGTGGTGGGGCTGGATGGCCCTGCCTGAGTAATCCAAACTTCTTTTAGCAAGGGAGAAGCATGAGACGCCTGTTGGAGAGATCAATAGCTGAACAAAATACAGTAAGAACAGTAGACACTTAAATTATGTTGTGAAAAGGAATCTGTAAAAGTCAATTTTATCACAAATTGCAAATATTGAAATTGATTGGCCGGGCGCGGTGGCTCACGCCTGTAATCCCAGCACTTTGGGAGGCCGAGGCGGGCGGATCACAAGGTCAGGAGATCGAGACCACGGTGAAACCCCGTCTCTACTAAAAATACAAAAAATTAGCCGGGCGCGGTGGCGGGCGCCTGTAGTCCCAGCTACTCAGGAGGCTGAGGCAGGAGAATGGCGTAAACCCAGGAGGCGGAGCTTGCAGTGAGCCGAGATCGCGCCACTGCACTCCAGCCTGGGCGACAGAGCGAGACTCCGTCTCAAAAAAAAAAAAAAAAAAAAAAGAAATTGATTGCAAATTTAGATCACATACAAATGAGAGTCTGACATTCAATTGTTGTTTTCCTATATTCCAAAGTAAACAATTCCTTTCAACACTCAAGACTTAAAACAGGTGTTCTTAGAGGGTTATATGAATTGCTATCAGAAGCTGTTGGCTCAACAAGCCAGTAGTTTGGTTCTTTCACGAGAACACAGTTCCAGATAAGCATCTTTGCACTATTTCTCAAGTATGAATCCCCATGTGGGGGAAAAATGGATATACTTCCAACAGACACAAGTCACTCTTTACCTTGCAAGTAAGCAGACTCCAGATTCATCTTCAAAGTCTTGGGAAAGGGATCTGTGACCAGTACATTATCATATGACTTCAAAAAGGAAAGGTCTTTAGTCCAGAAAGCCTAGATGCTGAGGTATAGCCCTTGAAATGTTTTCTTCCCTGTGAATTTTCTAGCAATTTGAGGTTTTAGCCAAGATGGGCATTTATCCAATTTTGGCAATAAAGAGATTTTTACATATTTATATCTTTTTAGGCAGCCTGGGTATTTAGAACTACTTATGAAAGCTCTCAGGTTGAGGCAGCACCATCAGACCCCTTTCCTGGTATTACTTCTGCTTTCGAGTCTTACAGGCTGAGTGGGTTTTCTCATGCCGGGTACAGTTTGACAGCCGACCAAATCTTCTCCCACATTTTTTGCAACCATATGGTCTCTCAGCCTCATGACTCTGCAGATGAAGCACAAATTCCTCATTCTTTGGGAAGGTTTTCCCACATTCTGGACACTTAAATATCTTCTCCCTTATATGGATTCCTTCATGACGACTCCGATGAGAATTCTGACGAAAGTTTTTTCCACACTGAGAACAGGAATAAGGTTTCTCTCCTGTATGAATTCGCTCATGTTTATTGAGGTTTGTTTTATGATTGAAGCTTTTCCCACAGTGACTACAGTCATAGGGTTTTTCTCCAGTGTGAGTCCTCTGGTGGGAAATAAGGTAAGAACTTTCATTAAACTGTTTCCCACACAGTGGACAAGTGTACCATCTCCTTGTCTTCCGATTTCGAGTAAGTGCAATAATACTGATGTCTACATATTTTGAGAGTTCCTCTAGAGGAGCATCATTCTCAAGGGTAACTAACAGATTTCTCATTTTCCTTTTTTGTGGAATGGATGTATTTAGTCTTTCCTTTTCCTGGTTATCTGGAGGCTGCTGAGAGACCAAGGAAGAATCCATTTCATCATCATCTGAAGACTTTTCTCTATAATCTTCATTTTCTACAAGTTCCCTCTCAGGATCTTCACCTTCAGGATTACTGCCATTGACTGTTCAAACAAAGAGAGAATTTAACAACTTCTGAGAGATATGACATCAGGCAGGAAAAAACAAGTCATGTTTCTTAAGCCAGAGCCACCTTTAAAGTCAATCTGAGGAGTGGCGGATACTGCCATCGCACTCCTTTACCACATTTATTGAGGGTGGGATACATAACTGATAAATCTTTCCATCTACCACAATGCAAGCACACTTTAAAGAAATAAAAATGAGTGGGAATTCACAGAAAGAATTCGTATGTTTGTTCTCTTCATAGGTGTTAATTACTCGACAAGTTCATATTCACCTTATACTCTGCAGAGCACTCAGCTAAAGACTAGGGATGAAGACTACAAATCTATAACGGCACCACTCATCATCTTGAAGGAGTCTGGTAACTGAATAGTAAGATGAACCACTTGTAGGTTTTCACTATATTAAATATTATCACACTATTATAGCACTAAATAATATTATAATGTCTTACAATGAGAAAATGGAAACAATTCCAATAACCCAAATTAAAGAGGGCACAGCATATTCATACAAAAGCTTATTATTGGCCAGGCGCAGTGGCTCACGCCTGTAATCCCAGGACTTTGGGAGGCCAAAGTGAGCAGATCACCTGAGGTTGGGAGTTCGAGACCAGCCTGACCAACGTGGAGAAACCCCGTCTCTACTAAAAATACAAAATTAGCTGGGCATGGTGGCACATGCCTGTAATCCCAGCTACCAGGCAGGTCGAGGCAGGAGAATCGCTTGAACCCGGGAGGCAGAGTTTGCAGTAAGCTGAGATCATGCCATATGCACTCCAGCCTGGGCAACAAGAGCGAAACTCTGTCTCAAAACAAAAAAAAAGTTTATTCTTTGGCGATTAAAGAGATTACTACAACTAATGAAGCTTTGGGATTAGAAGTCAGTAGTGTTTCTCTTTGGGTAGGAAAGGAAGTAGTGACTGGGTGCAGGGCACAAAAGGGATTTCTGGGATGCTAAAAAAAGTCCCCATTTTGGATGGTGATTAGTGTGTACAAAATTTTGTGAAAACTTCAGCTATATATTTATGATTGGTAGGCTTTTTCTATATTTCTATAATACTTCAGAAAAAAGTCAGTGTAAGCAGATTATAAAGATTAGGTAACAAAGTGAAAAACAAGCATGCTGTGGACATACTTGTGTGACAAGGGACCCCTCAACTCTGGACTAAGAGTCAAGGGTTCAAATTAACCACCAAGACATGGGGCTGATCCTGAAGCTGGAGTAGGAATCTCTGCTGGATTTCGCAGTTTCACACCAATAGATTTTTTTTTTTTAATTTCACTTTTTTGAGTTTTTTTGGGCAGAGATAGGGTCTTGCCATGTTGCCCCGGCTGGTTTTGCACTCATGTACTCAAGCAATCTTCCCAAAGTGCTGGGGATTACAAGTGTAAGCCACCACACCCAGCCTTAATTATTCTTTTTAATCACTCCCTTAGGATAATGAAATGCCAATTTTTACCACAGCTCTTGACATGAACTACCATTCTGCTTTCAAAAGCAGCTCTACTAATTTCAATGCAACCATCAATACGTGAATATTAACTTTACCTAATCTTGTTAGCATTAAATTTTGAAATAATAGGTATAAAATGGTTTCTCATTGTAGTTTTACTTTGGATTTTGATTATGCAAATAATCTATTGGGTTAAGACTTTTATAAATGTAAATCTTTGTCAATGATTTCTTGTTTAATTTTTAACTGAACTCTTCAACTACATTTGGACTGCTTCCAACCTTGTGTTTTTACAAACAATACCACAGCAAATAATCTTGTTTGTACATCATTTCAAATGTGCTCTGTTGCTGTATCTGTAGGTCAGATTCCCAGAATTGAACTGCTGGAACAAAGGGTAAGATGGGTAGTTACAGATGCATTTACCCTTAAACAGGGACTGTACCATTTTGTATGCCCATCAGCAATATACCTGTTTCTTAACAACCTCACCATCAATATGTTTTTATTTCTATAAATAGGAAATACAAAAATGTTAATTCACTAGCGGTTTAATTTGCACTTCTTTTTGCTCCTGTCACGCAGGCTGGAGTGCAGTGGCGCAATCTTGGCTCACTGCCAACCTCCACTTCCAGGGTTCAAGTGATTCTCCTTCCTCAGCCTCCCGAGTAGCTGGGATTATAGGCATGCCCCACCAAACCCAGCTAATTTTTGTATTTTTAGTAGAGATGGGGTTTTACCATGTCAGCCAGGCTCGTCTCACAACTTCTGACCTCAGGTGATCCACCTCCCTCGGCCTCTCAAAGTGCTAGGATTACAGGCGTGGGCCACCATGCCCAGCCCTGTTTATGTATTTGAATCTGTCAATCTTTTCTTTCAAGGCTTCTGGGCTTTTGAGTCTTAATTACAAAAACCTTCCTATCCCATGGTTATAAAGGAATCACTCATATTTTCTAAATGTGCTTTTTATATTTGTTTTAAACATTTAAAATCTTTGATCCATGTGGACTTTTTCTTGGGATGTAAAGTAAGGTACTAATTTATCAAATGGCTATCAGTTGTCCTAACACCTTTTATCAGAAAGTCCCTCTTTATGGTTAGGCTTTGTGTCCTCACCCAAGTCTCATCTTACATTGTAATCCCCATAATCCCCACATGTCAAGGAGAGACCACTCAGGTGAAGGTAACTGAGTCATGGGCAGGGGCTTCCCCCATGCTGTTTTCATGATAGTGAGTTCTCATGAGATCTGATGGTTTTATATAAGGGGCTCTTCCCCCTTTACTTGTACTTCTCCCTCCTGCTGCCTTGTGAAGAAGGTGCCTTGCTTCCCCTTGCCTTTGCCATGGTTTTAAGTTTCCAGAGGCCTCCTCAGCCATGCTGAACTGTAAGTCAATTAAACCTGTTTCTTTATAAATTACCAAGTCTTGGACAATTCTTTATAGCAGTGTGAAAACAGACTAATATACCAACTTTATCACACACTAAACTCCCATGTGTATTTGAGGCTATTTTGGGACTTTCTGAGATCACACTGTCTTGTTCCAAGGGAAAAATGCTATTGGTATTGTTGAAAAGAAAAATGACATCAGATTCATAAATCAACAAGAGAAATGACCATTTTACGATACTGTCTTCCTAGCCAAGAACATAGTATTTTTTTGCATTCATTGGAATCTACTCTTCTGTCCTTTAGACTTGTTTTAAAGTTTCCTCATAAATTTGCACATTTCTTGAGTTTTACTCCTAAGTATTTAAAGTTTCATGTTTCTAGTCTAATGGGGCCTTCCATTGTATCTTCTAAATGAACTTGTTTATATATGTGAAAGCCAATGATTTCTGTTTATACACTTCATCTCCCACTACTTTAGTGAATAGTCTCATTTTTTCCCTTTAGAGTAGTTAAGACAAATAAATGTTCTTATTTTTAAGTTTTCAGATTACTCTGTTCTACCTATTAAGGAAGTATCCGTTAATTACTATTTTGTTAAATGTTCTTATAAAGGAGAGGCTTGAATTTTGTCACATATCTTTTCTTTTTCTTTTTTTTTTTTTTTTTTTGAGACAGAGTCTCACTCTGTCGCCCAGGCTGGAGTGCAGTGGTGCAGTCTTGGCTCACTGCAAGCCCCGCCTCCCAGGTTCACGCCATTCTCTGGCCTCAGCCTCCCCAGCAACTGGGACTACAGGTGCCCACCACCATGCCCGGCTAATTTTTTTGTATTTTTAGTAGAGATGGGGTTTCACTGTGTTAGCCAAGATAGTCTCGATCTCCTGACCTCGTGATCTGCCTGCCTTGGCCTCACAAAGTGCTGGGATTACAGGCGTGAGCCACCGCGCCCGGTAAGTATCTTTTCATGACTATACAAGTAAACACAGGATTTTTCTCCTTTATATATAATAAATATTAATAGATTTGTATTATTTCTATTTATTTATTTATTTATTTATTTGAGATGGAATCTCACTCTGTCCCCCAGGCTGGAATACAATGATGCGATCTCAGCTCACTGTAACCTCTGCCTCCCAGGTTCAAGTGATTCTCCTACCTCAGCCTCTGGAGTAGCTAAGATTACAAGCATGCACCACCACACCCGGCTAACTTTTTTTTTTTTTTTTTTTTTAGTAGAGAGAGGATTTTGCTATCTTGGCCAGGCTGGTCTCGAACTCCTGACCTCAGGTATTGCCTGCCTCTGCCTCCCAAAGTGCTGGGATTACAGGTGTGAACCACTGTGCCCACCATGGGGACTGGATTTCAAGATGAGATTTGGAAGGGACAAATATCCAAACTGTATCAGCAACCTTGGGTCAGAGGGGTAAAGACAAATTAAAATTGCGTATTTTTTTCTAGAAAACATTATACAGACCTTCATATTCATGGGTTCTGCATGTGAGGATTCAACCAACCAAGGAGGGAAAATATTTGAGAGAAAAAAAAAAGGATGGTTTTGTCTGTACATACTCAGTTTTTTTGTCATTCCCTAAACAATTTAGTATAACAACTATTTACTATTTATGTAGCATTTACTTTGCATTAGGTATTATAGTTAATCTAGAAATAAAATATATCGTAGGATATGTGTGGAGTATATGCAAATACTACACCATTTTATATAATAAATTTGAGCATCCAAGGATTTTGCTGAGCAAGGGTCCTGGAACCAATCCCCCATGAATACCAAGGACAAGTGTATATCAGAATCTATGGTATAACTGACAGTGATGCTCATGAGACAGTTCATGGCTGTAAAAACATGTTTAATTTAGAAAAATGAGAATAAAGCCTCTGATTTAAAAGAACAAAGGTATTAATAAACACCAAATAGAAAGTAATGAGTTAAAAACAGAAAAAAACTACTAAGATTTAAACTAAATCAATTTCCATAGAGAAAATTGAAATTATCAAAAAAGAATAGCCACCTACCCAAGAAAAGCACCAGCCTCAGACAGTTCCACAGAAAATTCTTCTAAACTCTTAAAAATTAAATAATTCAAATGCTAGGAAAATTTCCAGAGTATATAAAAAGAAGGAAACTTCCAAATTTAAACAAGAGTGAAACTCTGTATCAAAAAAAAAAAGGGAAATCTGATCCCCAGTGATGGAGGTGGAGCCTAGTCGGAAATGTTTGCATCATGCGGGTAGATCCCTCATGGAATGGCTTGATGCCATTACTTCCAAGATAGTAAGTGATTTCTCGCTCTTCGTTCACTAAAGATGTGGCTGTTTAAAAGAGGCTGGTACCTTCCTACTCTCTTCCTTACTCTCTTGCCATGTGAAGTCTGCTCTCCTTCCACCATGAGTAGCTTCTTGAAGCCCTCACCAGAAGCAGACGTTGACGCCATGCTTCTTGTACAGCCTACAGAAAACTGTGAGCCAAATAAACCTCTTTTCTTTATAAATTAACCAGCCTCAGGTATTCTTTTATAGCAGCAAAAAATGGACTAAGACAGTTGCTTAAGAGTTTTAAATTTTCCAGGTGGAAGCAACTTTAATTTACTGATCTTTATTATTAATTTCTAGTTGTACTGCATTGTGACAGATCCTACTTTATTTCTACTCCTTGGAATCTGAGTTTTTCCTTGTTGCCTAGTATTTAGTCAATTTTCTTCAATCTTGAAAAGGTGTATTCTCCTATCACAGCATACAGTAGCTATAATAAGAATTATCTTACTGAGAATCTGTTTAAGTGTTCTACATTTTTCCTTGTTTTTATGTGGTTCATCTGGCCAACACACACATTCTGTTTCCCTAGGTTATTAAGGACTCTCCTTTGATTCCTGTCACCACAATGCTCAATCGGTTATAGTTTTTCTTTCACAAAAATTGGTTAAATGTTACTGTTTCAATTATCATCACCTATAAACTGATGACTCCCCAATCCCTGTATCCTCACATCTGAACTCCAATCCCCAATTTCCAAATATCTGGAGGATAATCTCATTTTATTTCCTATCATGGATTCAATCTCATCCAAAATAAATTCCACCTTCTTCCCTACTCTGCTCCTGGGTCCAAATCTTGCTTCAGTCTTGCGATATCTCATTATACCTATAAACATTTCACACTGCTTATCGTTTAAGGAGTGACTTGTCTTATAAACCAAATTGGAAGGTTATAAAAGGCAGGAATACAGCATCTTTGTAACCTATAAATACAATTCCAGAACCCAATCCTGCCTGAGGAAAAAACAAGTACATTTATGAAATGCTGGTAAATGACTAAGCTTAATCCATCAGCTTCAGGGTACGGGTGGAGGAAGCGGGAAACAGAGGGTGAGGACTGGGTCTTAGGGGCCCCAAAGTGCATAGTCAAAGTGATCCTGGAGGCAATATATCCACTAACCGGCCACCCAAAATAAATGCTAGCTCTGCCCAAGACTCAGGAAAAACTCAGTGTAATAAATCTGATCTTTTTATACTTTTCTCTAAAATAAAGAAGATATCACATAGAGCAACCTGTGGGAAATTAACTAGACTCATTACATACCAATACTTCTGACCATATGGTATAATTACAGCTAAGAGTTTCATAGTCATAATGGATTTCTATCACCCCAGGCAACTCCTAAAACCTATTCTCTGTACAACTTCACCCTCAGAAGCAAACAGCCCTGAAGGCAAAGTAAAAAGTGTCAGGCACTCAGTAAAGACATTTGTGTGGGCCTCTGCCTCTAGGGTTGCAGCATTTCTAAAGAAAAGGTAAAGTGTCTCTAAGCAAATTATAGAGGGGCTCTGCCTGATCAGTTCATACACAGCACTGGAGAACACTTGTCAACTATTACCGGGAAATGAGGACAAATAAAGAATGCCCCAGCCGGGCGCGGTGGCTCACGCCTGTAATCCCAGCACTTTGGGAGGCCGAGGCAGGCGGATCACGAGGTCAGGAGATCAAGACCATCCTGGCTAACACAGTGAAACCCCGTCTCTACTAAAAATACAAAAAAATTAGCCGGGCGTAGTGGCGGGCGCCTGTAGTCCCAGCTACTCGGGAGGCTGAGGCAGGAGAATGGTGTGAACCCGGGAGGCGGAGATTGCAGCGAGCCAAGATCGCGCCACTGCACTCCAGCCTGGGCAGCAGAGCGAGTCTCCGTCTCAAGAAAAAAAAAAAAGAATGCCCCATTCACCAACAACGAAATTATGAGAAATGCATCTAGGAGGCAGAGCAGCCCTGGGCCATTACTGCAAATTCTGATGTCAGATTCCCTGAGTCCGAATCCCTGTTCCACTGCTTACAACTGTGTGACCTTTAGCAAATGTTTTAACCCCTCTCTGCCTCAGTTCTGTCACCTGTAAGGTGGCAGTAATTTCCATACCACTCAATATTACTCTGAGAAGTACATGAGACAATAAACACATGAAAAGCATTTGGACTAGTGCCTAGCATATAACAGCATGTAAGTGCTCATTAAGTGTTAAACATTACTTTCATCAATAGTGGAATATATTTTCACTTAGGCTAGTAGTCTTCACATCTATTGAACATCAAAAAGGGGACGGGGATTAGAAGAGCTAGTCATGTGTTCAATGAAAACATTCAAATATACCTGTTGAGAACAGAGTTCAGAAAATGGGTTCAGAACAGTTTCTATGCCCACAGTTTCTGTCTGCAGGTTTTCCCTACCTCTCCCCTCACTGCACCCAACATATAGGCAAAATGGCCACCCACCCACCCACAGCTGGAGCTGTGGAAAGGCTCTGCCACACAGAATAAAACAAAAGTAAAATAGAATGTGTGTGTGTACATAGGCTTACCAGGTGTGAATTGTCCCCCAAAGCTAGAGATGAAGGATGTGCTTGTCCCAAAGTAAACAATCTGAACACACAAAGGCTGTGATTTCTTTTTTTTTTTTTTTTGAGACGGAGTTTCGCTCTGTCACCCAGGCTGGAGTGCAGTGGCACGATCTCGGCTCACTGCAAGCTCCGCTTCCCGGGTTCACGCCATTCTCCTGCCTCAGCCTCCTGAGTAGCTGGGACTATAGGCACCCACCACCACGCCCAGCTAATTTTTTGTATTTTTAGTAGACACAGGGTTTCATCGTGTTAGCCAGGATGGTCTCGATCTCCTGACCTCGTGATCTGCCTGTCTTGGGCTCCCAAAGTGCCGGGATTACAGGCGAGAGCCACCACGCCCGGCTGGGCTGTGATTCTTACCCAGTAACATCATCTCCCCGACACTGCTGTCATCTTCCTTCTCTGAGGTGAGAGTAGGATCCAAGCTCACACATTCTTCCTGGCAGTGAAATACATTCAAATCCTCAAAGACCACCAGTTCCTGAAAGAGCAAGAGGCCCCTTTCATCTTAGTAACTGAGGTTCATTGACAGCCCTACTGGTAACAAAAACTGACGAACAAAGATCAAGGGAAGGGATGGCAAGAGGGACCTATAAATCCCACAGAGGTGCAGCAAAGACAGGACAGCCAGGCTGAGAAGGGCTCAAGGAAAAAGCAGAAGAAAAACACCCAAGAAGGCCAACTCCTAAGAATGTGTTTTTACACACACGTTGGCCAAGCATGGAAGGTGATGGATTCAGACAGTGAATAGGAAAACCAAACCCACCTCAGGGTTAGCTTTCAAATACAGAGACACTGTCTCTTGTTCCTGTTGGACTCCTTTGGGCAGAAGCTTCACCAAGGGACGAGGATGCACTGGGGAAAGAGGAAGGTGTCGTTAGTGAAAAACTCAGTGATTCTAACACAGAGACTCCCCATACCTTGAGGTCAGGCTGTCCTCATTCCTTTGACAGGTAACTCATGGGCTTTTCTGCTCCTGTGAGCCCTTATGGAGGTCAAGCCATAAACTCTAGGGTCTTGAACCTATGGCATCTCCCTTTTATGAAAATAATGACCTCTCTACACACCTTTCAGAATTTCCCATAGAGTATTACTAAAGGAGAGCTCGGGGCAATGTAAAGTGTGAAGATGCCCAGAAAGAGCAGAAAATTTCTAAAATTCCACATAAACCTAACTCAATAATTCATCTGATTTATCCCAAAAAGATATTTCCCTCGGCCGGGCGCGGTGGCTCAAGCCTGTAATCCCAGCACTTTGGGAGGCCGAGATGGGCGGATCAAGAGGTCAGGAGATCGAGACCATCCTGGCTAACACGGTGAAACCCCGTCTCTACTTAAAAAAATACAAAAAACTAGCCGGGCGAGGTGGCGGGCGCCTGGAGTCCCAGCTACTCGGGAGGCTGAGGCAGGAGAATGGCGTGAACCCAGGAGGCGGAGCTTGCAGTGAGCTGAGATCCGGCCACTGCACTCCAGCCTGGGCGACAGAGCGAGACTCCGTCTCAAAAAAAAAAAAAAAAAAAAAAGATATTTCCCTCAGAATGTTTGGGTAAAACCGACACTACAGAAAGATGCACACTGTTTATTCTGTGGCTTTACCCACACCCAGCACTTCAGAAGAATTTCCTCTTTCCAACACTAGAATTGACTCCTTTTTCAATATACACCATCCTAATTTGAATTTATAACTAACACAGAAGCCTATCTTAGACTCCAGTACCTCCTCCTCCTCTTCTAGTGAAACAAGCATGTGCTTCTCACCTCTGTTCTGAAGGCTTGAGCTCACATCTTTCATAATAACCAAGGTCTCCTTGACTTTCTGACTGGGCTGGACCAGGCTTGGCTTGGGCAAGAAGGTGAGGAAGTGCTCCAGCACTAGCTGGTGGATGGTCTTGGGCCCATTAGTGGCATCTCGAAGTAGGTCTTGGCCCAGCTTGGAGTCTGGTGGAACTCTCAGTATAAAGGACCGCTTTGGCTTTGGAGGCATAGGAACCACTTTTGCAGCCATCATGCCTTGCAACCACACACCACACTCGTTTCGCGGGGCCTCCTGAGCCACCTCTTACTAGAGGAAATCTGCCAGAGAGCCAAGCTGTAGACAGAGAAACCAGGGATTACCCACAAGACCAGGCAAGGCATTACTGCACTCCAGTATGTGGCATGGGTAGTGAGGTTACAGGAGATCTAAAGAAAACGACAGCTGGGGTTAGGAAATCATAACTGAAACGCAGTATTTGAACAAGATATGCTTAGGAAGATGTTAAAGGAAGATCCTGAGAATAAAAAAGAGACTCTGCAAACCTCAAGTCCAAAGGCAAGGGAGTAATGGCCGGGAGAAGGCCAAGGTCCAGCCTCCTGAGAAATACAAAGTGTGGCCAGGTACCGATGGCTCACACCTGTAATCCCAGCACTTTGGAAGGCCCTGGTGGGTGGGTCGCTTGCGTCCAGGAGTTCAAGACCAGCCTGGGCAACACAGCAAGACCCCGATTCTATAAAAAAATAAATAAAAAATTAGCTGGGCGGGGCGACACAAGTCTGTGGGTCCCAGCTACTCGGGAGGTGGGAGGATTGCTTGTGCCCAGGGGGTCGAGGTTGCAGTGAACTGTGATCGCGCCACTGCACTCCAGTCTGAATGACAAAGCAAGACCCTGACTCTAAAAAAGAAAAGAGAAAGGAAAGGAGGAAGGGAGTCAGGGAAGGGAAAGAAAAGGAGAAAGAAAAGACAGAAAGACGGTGTGTAAAACCCACCAGGAAGAGGTTGAATCAGGTCTGGAGAAAGAGCAATGGGCTAGAAGACAGGAAATCTGGGGTCAATACCGCGGACATCCGCCTAGAAGCAGGTTGGTCACTGAAACTGGCCATACTGTACCCCTCGAACCGAAGCTCCCTCCGGTGCCCTTTGGGCGGGGAGGCGGTTGGTGACTCTCCCGGGGAGCAGACGCAAGGCCGAGGAGGGGTCCACACACCGCCTGCCGACTCCTCTCCGCCGTCAAAGCTCTCCTGAGAGCGGCAGGCGACATCCCACTAAGGCCCGCCGGGCCAGGCTCACTCTGGGGCCTCTTCCGCTGGTCAAGGAACACCTTTACCGTAAAGCTCAGCGTGCGCCCCTGCCTGAGGCGCTCACCAGGCTCCCTACCCGGCCTTTCTCCCTCAGCAACGGACACGCTCCGTTCCCCAGAGGCGGCCTCAGCCTGGTTCCCGCCCTCACGGAGCCCCTCACCTCTCGGGGCCTCTGCAGCCCCTGAGCGTTTGCTGGGGACGGCTCAGAGACTCAGGCTCCGGGAGAGATAGAAAAACTAGGCGCGAGCGGCCGACCCCTCCCCTCGCCCTTCCGAGTGCCCTCACAGGTCGCCGGCGACTATTCGTTCGCGCCGTGACCAGTTAAGGTGAATTGCAGGGACGCGGTGCCTTCTGGGAGGTCGGGCGCTCTGCAGCCGTCACGTCACAACCGGTGCCTTGTTTCCGGTGCAGAAGCCTGGTCTCCCCGTTCAGAGCGGGCAATCTGCGCTTGAGACGGTAACGCTTGAGACGGGCCCAGGGAGCTCTCAGGGCTGGAGGGAGGCCAGACGGCTGCAGCCTGTCTCTCTGTGGCTCTGCCTGGAAGACGGAAGGTAAGAGGCTGGCTCCAGTCATCCATGACGGGTTGGCACTTCTCCAGCTGCGGCCAGTCTAACCCCAGGGCCTCCTGGGAAATGTAGTTCGAATGCAAACAACCAATGGACGACCGTCAGGCGCGGCCGTTGGGGCAAGGCGGACCCCCTCCAACCCCCCCGTTCCCCCGCCAAGGCTTGAAGGAAGCGAGCTCTCGGACCGGAAGATCAAGACGTCTCCGCGCGTTTCCTCCTTTCACTGCGGTTTTCCAGTAAAAGGACTGCGGAGGCGGAGAGGGTGTGGCCGGCATGGGACTCCGCCTCTGCTCTGGTGACTCCCATAGGTTAGAGCTGGGGCACCTACGTTGCCACCTCCAACTTTCTAACTTCTACTCTGCTGTCCCCACCGGCCGTCTTGTTTTTAAAGGTATCTTAATTGCCCTTCTTGTACTGTCTCTGTTCTCAATTTCAGCTTCCTACGGAGGCCGAACAGAGTTTTGTCTTTGTGCGTTGTATCCATACTCGGTTCGTTCGCCAGTGAGGCATTGATCAGGGTTGGGACAACTTGTGGGCAGGTGTGGCCTTATTTCTCGATGTAACACTAGCCTCCAGAAAGTAGACAAAAGTAAAAATATAAATGAATACTTCTTAAAGTTAATTACAGCTGACTAATCGTTTAACGATGGCTTAAAATATGTCACAAAGAAACGAGTATGAAAACTGTGTGGCACCAAGACATTCTAGAAAAATAAGGAATATCTGCCTTTTCAGATCAAAATTTACTAAAAAGGCTCCGTTAATCAAAGCAGTGTGGTTTGAACTATGAGGCAAAACAGATAACTGAGATGTTTTGAAGTAAAATATAAACCTGTGTGATTGTATTTTTTTTTTTTTTTTTGAGACGGCGTCTTGCTCTGTCACCCAGGCTGGAGTGCAGTGGCCGGATCTCAGCTCACTGCAAGCTCCTCCTCTCGGGTTCACGCCATTCTCCTGCCTCAGCCTCCCGAATAGCTGGGACTACAGGCACCCGCCACTTCGCCCGGCTAGTTTTTTTGTATTTTTTAGTAGAGATGGGGTTTCACCGTGTTAGCCAGGATGGTCTCGATCTCCTGACCTCGTGATCCGCCCGTCTCGGCCTCCCAAAGTGCTGGGATTACAGGCTTGAGCCACCGCGCCCGGCATGTGATTGTATTTTTTAAATACTTTTTCTTGACTCTGTTAACAAACAAGAAATAAGACTGGAAGATAGTAGTAAAGATTAGCTACACAAAGGATTAGACATTCCCAAGACGAAATGAACCCCTGCCAACTGACAAAAAGCAAAGGCAATGAGGAGCTCTTCCCGAGAGGAGGAAACCTAATTGGTCATTAACATTTGAAAAGATGCTTAACCACACTACTAGTCAAGATTATCACTTTTAAAGGGACCAACATTTTTCACCTATCAAACAACGAAGGTGGAGAAATAGGCACTCCTTTTACTGGTAGTATAGTGTATGAAGTCATCTTGTAATATATATTAAAATTAAAAGTACACATATGTACTCTTTTTTTTTTTTTTTTTTTGAGACGGAGTCTCGCTCTGTCGCCCAGGCTGGAGTGCAGTGGCACTATCTCGGCTCACTGCAAACTCCGCCTCCCGGGTTTACGCCATTCTCCTGCCTCAGCCTCCCGAGTAGCTGGGACTACAGGCGCCCGCCACCTCGCCCGGCTAATTTTTTTGTATTTTTAGTAGAGACGGGGTTTCATTGTGTTAGCCAGGATGGTCTCGATCTCCTGACCTCGTGATCCGCCCGTCTCGGCCTCCCAAAGTGCTGGGATTACAGGCTTGAGCCACCGCGCCCGGCCCATATGTACTCTTTGACCTTCACAATCTCATCTGTGAATCTGATGTCTACAGATTTCTTGTAGAATTCTTTATAGTGACAAAAACTAGAAATGACATGCATGTTCATACGTAAGGAAATGAGTAAATTGGTGCATTCATACTCTGGAAATTACCCAGCTGTGAAAAAGAATGGATTGGAACTATAGGTACACCTGGAGGGATGGCCATAAAATATTACATGAAAAAGTTTCAGAGCTACATATATCATGCATAATTATATTTTTGGAACAAACAAAACACCTATGTATGTGTTGAGGGATACACATTAGACTATTAAAATGGTTACTCATGGGATGGCCAGGCGCAGTGGCTCATGCCTGTAATCCCAGCACTTTGGGAGGCCAGAGGTGGGCTGATCACTGGAGGTTAGGCGTTCGAGACCAGCCTGGTCAACATGGGGAAACCCCATCTGTACTAAAAATACAAAAATTAGCCGGGCATGGTGGCGGGCACCTATAATCTCATCTACTTGGGAGGAGGCTGAGACACAACTGCTTGAACCCAGGAGGTGGAGGTAGAGGTTACAGTGAGCCAAGATTGCACCACTGCATTCCAGCCTGAGTGACAGGCGCACCAGCCTGGGCGACAGAGTAGTAAGACTCTGTCTCAAATTAATAAATAAAATAAAAATAAAATAGTTACTCATAGGGAGGCAGTGGAAATGGAGAAAAGGGGGAGATTACACTTTTTTTTTAATTGTGTCACTTCATTTAATGAGCACATGTCAATTTGGTAACTAAAAATAATAAAACCTTAAAAAAAAATAGAACAATAGGCTGGGCGTGGTGGCTCATCCCAGCACTTTTGGAGGCCGAGGTGGGCAGATCATCTGAGGTCAGGAGTTCCAGACCAGCCTAACATAGTGAAACTCCATCTCTACTAAAAAATACAAAATTAGCCGGGTGTGGTGGTGCATGCCTATAATCCCAGCTACTCAGGAGGCTGAGACAGGAGAATCGTTTGAACCTGGGAGGCGGAGGTTGCAGTGAGCTGAGATCGTGCCCACTGCACTCCAGCCTGGGTGACAGACAGAGCGAGACTCCATCTCGGGAGGCAGGAGGAGGAGGGGACGAAAAAAGAACGATAAAGATTTTTTTTTTAATTTGATGGAAAAAAAGAGCGATAAAGATTTTTTAAAACAATTGGATGGAATCCTGTTTTTAGAATCTAATCCGTAAAATAAATGACATAAATGGATTTTAAATGATACCATAAATTAAGGGTGTAAACACAATATATATCTCTATAAATGCCTTTTAACATGAAAAGATGGCTACAGTCACATGCAATTAAAGAAATGAAATTTAAAAGAATAATTACAAAAATAATATTCAGAATTCTGAAAGCAAATTAATACAATTATTTAAGAGGGCAATATGGCACTTCCTATTTTAAGAAGTAAACTTTGGCCGGGCGCAGTGGCTCAAGCCTGTAATCTCAGCACTTTGGGAGGCTGAGACGGGCGGATCACAAGGTCAGGAGATCGAGACCATCCTCGCTAACACGGTGAAACCCCGTCTCTACTAAAAAATACAAAAAATTAGCCGGGTGTGGTGGCGGGCGCCTGTAGTCCCAGCTACTTGGGAGGCTGAGGCAGGAGAATCTCTTGAACCCGGGAGACGGAGGTTTCAGTGAGCCAAGATTGTACTACTGCACTCCAGCCTGGGCAACAAGAGTAGTCTCAAAGAAAAAAAAAAAAAAAAAAAAGAATCATAGGCCGGGCGGGGTGGCTCATGCCTGTAATCCCAGCACTTTGAGAGGCCAAGGTGGGTGGATCACCTGAGGTCAGGAGTTCAAGACCAGCCTGGCTAACGTGGTGAAACCCCCATCTCTACTAAAAATACAAGAAAATTAGCCTGGTGTGGTGGCATGCGCCTGTAATCCCAGCTACTCAGGAGGCTGAGGCAGGAGGATCACTTGAACCTGGGAAGTGGAGGTTGCGGTGAGCTGAGATAGTACCACTGCACTCCAGCCTGGGTAACAAAGCAAGATCCCGTCTAAAAAAAAAAGTCATAGTTCATTAATCCAGGTACACAAATACTTCTATCCCAATCCAGTCTGCTTGTGTTTCTCTAGACTTCCCATGTCCTCAAGACAAAAGCAGAGAGAACCAGGGGACATGTCCTTGCCGTGGGGTTCTGAGGGAAAATGAGGGCCAAATCTTCTGTTCAGGAGCACCTGAGAGTACCATTCACCAGGGATGGATTATGCAACGACCCTGTACTTCCTCCTCTGAAATCCATGGTGTGTCATCAGTACACTTCTTTAGCGGATTTACTAATACGTTCGTTCCTAACTTAGCTCTGCTACAATCGGGGAGGCTCCATGGGCACAGTAACTATTTTGTTATTCGTTGCATTTCCTGTAGCAGCTGGCACCCAGGCGGCATTCCGTGACTGTTGAGTATGTGAATGCAAGATACAAGGCCAGAAGCTGGAAGAGAGATGCAGTGTTGGGCATTCAGTCAGGCCCCTGACCACCCACTGGACAGATAGTCAGAGGAGCTGTGTTCTTCCCTCCATCATGTGTCCCAGGGCTGAAGATAGGTTGAAGGGGCTCAGAGAAACAGCAGCTGGTGAATGTATAGATGCAGGATCTGGCTGTCACGTTGTAAAAGGAAATGCTTCCAACTCTGTAGTCCACAAAGATGCCCACACGCTTGGGAGGCACCTTTATTAGCAGGCGGGTTGGGGGAACACTGGATGCCTGGTACTCATTTTCCTTCATCATTATCACCACCCAGTAGCCATTCTCTGGTGACAGAGTCATGTTCCCTTTCCTGCTTATGGATGCCTTGCAGGCTCCTAGGATCCACGCTGTCTTGTCTCCGACCTCCACCTCCCAGTAATGATGGCCGGAGAGGAAGCTCGGAGAGCCCAGAACAACGATGCAGCTGTCAAATCTTTGCGGGCCATCAGGCAGCCTCTCCCGCTTGTTTCCAAGTCTAACACTCTTCAGATCATCAGAGACGATGAGGTTGGGGTAAGCGGTTTCTGCATCCAGAATCACATTAACTGCAAAGAAAATTTGAATACCTAGCTAGGGGTCCGTAGGCAACATCCCTACAGGGTTATCCCCACCTGCAGGAAAACAGGGACAGGGCAGTTATTCTCGAACGTGGTGGGGGAGAGCACAGGGATCCAGCAGGTCAGGGCCACTTGCCTTGATCTGGGCACTTACCGGCATGTGCCTGAGCGCCAATCAGCTCTGGAACTACAGAGAAAAATGAGATAGGGAAAAAAGTCCTGAGCATTTGTATTCAGAGGGGCTAAATTACAATGTCCCGACAACAAGGAGACGCAAGGAACCCCCTGCTTAGGGCCCTGCATGCTATGTTGGGTATAATCCCGTTCCTCCCAGGAACCCAGGTCATGTTGGGAACTGTGGTCTAATGAGTCAGCTCAGCCAGTGAGTCATGCAGTCATGCACAGAGCCTGGGGGGCCTGCCATGACCTTTCTCCTGCCTTTGCTCCAGGTGTTTTTGGGTTTTTTTGTCTTCTAAATAGGGCCCCTCAAGTCAACAGCACAAGGAAACACTGCAACAATCCCAGGCCAGCACACACTATTACCGCTGGACTCACCATTGAACATTTCCATTTCTGAACGCAGGGTTTCTAAAATGTGGGAAAGGGAACAGAGAGAAGCTGGAGTTAGGTCCCTCAGCTAGGGACAGATGGAAGAGAGGTCGAAGGCAGGTCAGCAAGACCAGGGGTGGAGGAGGAGGGAAGTGAGGGGCTCTGGGCTATGTGAATCTTAGGGCGGAAGCAAGCATGCACCTCCAATCCTCTCCCAAGCCCATCTACCTAAGAAGTACTTTGCGTTCTTCTCCACAAACTCTAACTTCTGGTGGAGCAGTTGGATCTTCTGTTTCATCTCTTGAGGAGGAGTCCACCGTTCAGGGAGAGGCACTGTCTTAGCCCTAGAGACAAAAGACTGTTGGCCAGAGAGGGCTGGAACGAGGGGATGGCCCAAGTACCCGTGAGCTGGAAATGATCTACATTCTCCACAGGGCACACCTAGCCCAGCCTGAGCTACACAAAGAAAAGTCTTCTCTGGATTCAGAGGTCTAAATGCTGGTCCTCAACTTTGGCCACAGATTGTCATGTACTGGGGCGCTTTAAAGACATGGATATCAAAACCACAAGGAGTTTTCAGAATGGACTTAAAATGACATTGATATTATCTACCAGAATTATCTATGTCAAATTGATTATACATCCCTTTATTTCTTTCTATTGAAATAAAAATGGTAGTTAATGAAAAAAAAAAACAATAAAATACCCCTTCACATTCATTAGGATGGCTATTATAAAAACAGCAACAACAGGAGAAAATAGGCCAGGTATGGTGGCTCATGCCTGTAATCCTAGCACTTCAGGAGGCCAAGGCAGCTGGATTGCTTGAGCCCAGGAGTTCAAGTCCAGCCTGGGCAACATGGCAAAACCCTGTCTCTATTAAAAATACAAAAAAGTAGCTGGAAATGGTAGCACATGCCTGTAGTCCCAGCTACTCAGGAGGCTGAGGTAGGAGAATCACCTGAGCCCAGGAGTTGAGCCTGCAGTGAGCCGTGACTGTGCCACTGCTCTCCAGCTTGAGTGATGGGAATGAGACCTTGTCTCAGGAAGAAAAGAGAGAGAGAGAGAGAAATGGCTGGGCGCAGTGGCTCACATCTGTAATCCCAGCGCTTGGGGAGGCCAAGGTGGGTGGATCACTTGAGGTCAGGAGTTTGAGAACAGCCTGGCTGACATGGTGAAACCCTGTCTCTACCAAAAAAATTAGCTGGGCATGGTGGCACGCTCCTGTAGTCCCAGCTACTAGGGAGGCTGAGGTGGATGAACCCCTTGAACCTGGGAGGCAGAGGTTGTAGTGAGCCAAAGATGACGCCACTGCACTCCAACCTGGATGACGGAGCAAGACTCTGTCTCCAAAAAAAAGAAAAAGAGAGAAAGAGAGAGAAACAAGAAAATAAGTGATGGCAAAGATGTGGAGAAACTGGAGCCCTTGTGAACTGCTGGTGGGAATGGGAAGCAGTGCAGCCCCTGTGGGAATCAGGATGGTGGTTCCTCAAAAAAAATTAAACACAGAATGACCACATGGTCCCGCCGTTCCACTTCTGGGTATGTACCCAAAATAACTGAAAGCAGGGTCTCAAATAGATATTTGTATGCCCATGTTCATAGCAACATTATTCACAAACCAAAAGTTAGAAAAAATCCCAATGTCCATGAATGGATAAACGAAATGTAGTATGAACACACAATTGACTACTATTCAGCCATAAAAAGAAAATAAATTCTGATACACGTTACAACATGGATGAAGCCTGAAGACATTATGCTAAGTGAAGAAGCCAGACACAAAAGGACACTGGGATTTTGTAAAGCTCCCAGGTGATTTTAAGGCTTAGCCTCTTCCTGTCCCTTCCCTCCCCTTCCTGCTGGGCTCAACCCAGCTTCACTCCAAACAAGCTTCCCAAGGCCACCAGTAGGCCTGAAGGGGCAGTTTTCATAAGGTGAATTGCACGGGACACAATGCACTCGGCAAGTTTCTTAGGGAGCCTCCATCTTAGGATGGGCTGAATTCACCCTTCCCAGTCTGCAGCTCCACACCTGGTCAGCCTCCCTGCCGGCCAGATCCCCTTCTCCCTAAGCAAATCCAGAGGCTTTGCCTCCCTGCCGGCCAGATCCCCTTCTCCCTAAGCAAATCCGGAGGCTTTGGCTCCCTGCCGGCCAGATCCCCTTCTCCCTAAGCAAATCCGGAGGCTTTGGCTCCCTGCCGGCCAGATCCCCTTCTCCCTAAGCAAATCCGGAGGCTTTGGCTCCCTGCCGGCCAGATCCCCTTCTCCCTAAGCAAATCCAGAGGCTTTGCCTCCCTGCCGGCCAGATCCCCTTCTCCCTAAGCAAATCCAGAGGCTTTGGGAACCTGCAGAAAAAGGGAGGAGTCTGGAATCACAGACCCCAGTGTTGGGAACATCTCCCTCCCAGGTCCCTTCTGGGACTGTCTCCCCCAAAATGCTTCCTGCAAGACACCCCAGGGTACACCATAGGACCTTGCTGTACCTGTGCAAGATGTCTCCGATGTCCTAGGAGAGAAAAGAAGGAAACTGTCCATTATCAGGCTCCCAGAGGCTGTGCTGATACCTGGCCTCTACTCCTGGGCTCCTGGACTTTTAGCTCCCCCCTGCACTTACCAGGGCTCCCTGCCCTAGGGTGTCAGGGGAAGTGGAGCACCTTTCTTCAATTCTAATTCTAACCACAGGGATTCAGGCATCCCAGGTGGCAAGGCCTGCAATGGAACGACCCTCAAGCCCTGCTGATCCCTTCTGGGAAATGGCAGGGATCCCCTGGATGCTGGGCCACCCTGGGCTCCTGAGAGACTTCGTCAAAGGGGTCTGGGCACAAGAGGCATTGTGGGTCACCAAGACCAAGTCCTATCCTAGGCCTTAGGGGCTTCACCCACTGGTTCCCGCACAGCTGATGGCAGAGCTGAGAGTCTGAGGCATCCTAATGGGCACAGGGGACCCAAGAAAGCCAGGCCCAGGCACACCCACCTGCAGAAGGTCCCATTCTGACTGGCACTGCTTGGTCTCCAGTTCCCCAATCAGCGCGTCAAGCAGGGCGACGTCCTGGGATATGCGGGTGTCATATGCCTTCCTGATCTGCCCAACCATGTGGCCCACGTTCTCCAGCGAGGCCATAAAGACATGCTCTTGCTGCTCCAGAAAGTGGTACACCTGCTGCAGCTTCCTCTGCATCCGCTGCTTCAGCGCTTCAGTCTGTTTCTGGGGAGCAGAGGACAGGGAGGTATGAGGGTCTGTGCTTTGGGTGGACGTGTATGTCCAGGAACCCCCGGAGGCTCACCTGGAGGTGGATAACAGGTGAGCTTATGCTGCCTCTTCGAGGCCTAGATTCCACAGCAGGAGGCAATATTGTCTGGAACCTTCCAGAACAGACTGAGCATGGCTGGGGCTAGCTCTGGGAAAATGTCCTCAAACCTGGTGTTAAGGTTTAACTGTGTCCCCTCCAAAATTTACATGTTGAAGCCCTAACCCCCAGTACTCAGAATGTGATCTTATTTGGAGATAGAGTTCTTGCAGATGTAATTAGTTAAGATGTGGTCCTACTGGAGTTGGGTGGGTCCCTAATCCAATATAAATGTTGTTTCATAAAATGGGGAAATTCAGGCTGGGTGCAATGGCTCATGTCTGTAATCCCAGCATTTTGGGAGGCTGAGGCAGGTGGATCACCTGACGTCAGGAGTCTCAGGCTGCTCTCACCAGCCTGGCCAACATGGGGAAACCCTGTCTCTACTAAAAATACAAAAATTACAGGCACGGTGACAAGCGCCTGTAATTCCAGCCACTCAGGAGGCTGAGGCAGGAGAATTGCTTGAACCTGGAAAGTGGAGGTTGGAGCGAGCCAAGATTGTGCCACTGTACTCCAGCCTGGGCAACAGAGTGAGACTCCACCTTGGGAAAAAAAAAAAAAACAAGAGAATTTTTTTTTTTTAATTTAATTTTTTTTTTTTGAGACGGAGTCTCACTCTGTCGCCCAGGCTGGAGTGCAGTGGCCTGATCTCAGCTCACTGCAAGCTCCGCCTCCCGGGTTCACACCATTCTCCTGCCTCAGCCTCCCGAGTAGCTGGGACTACAGGCGCCCGCCACCTCGCCCGGCTAGTTTTTTGTAGTTTTAGTAGAGACGGGGTTTCACTGTGTTCACCAGGATGGTCTCGATCTCCTGACCTCGTGATCCACCCGTCTCGGCCTCCCAAAGTGCTGGGATTACAGGCTTGAGCCACCGCACCCGGCCAAAACAAGAGAATTTTAAAGTTAAAAGTGTTCTTGGCCGGTCGCGATGGCTCATGTCTGTAATCCCAGTACTTTGGGAGGCCAAGGTGGGCGGATTATGAGGTCAGGAGTTCGAGAACAGCCTGACCAACATGGTGAAACCCCATCTCTACTAAAATTACAAAAAACAGCCGGGCATAGTGGTGGGTGCCTGTAGTCCCAGCTACTCAGCAGACTGAAGCAGGAGAATCGCTTAAACCCGGGAGACAGAGGTGCAGTGAGCCAAGATCATGCCACTGCACCTGGGTGACAGAGCGAGACTCCGTCTCAAAAAAAATAAAAAAAATAAAAAAAATAAAAATTGCGGCGTTCTCCTCCCCTTTCCTCAGTCCCATCTTTCTGCGACAGTCACCGGCATAGGTTGCTGTATACTATCTTCTGGTGAGTATGAGAAAGCATGACAGGATCCTCAGAGGTGACCCCTGCCTGCCGGGGGTGGTCTCCCTCTACAGGGATGAGTTCACCCTTGGCTGCTGGTTACCTCTCTGCACCCTGAGAGGAGGTGGCCATCCCTGCTGCCCTTTGAACCACAGCAAAATCTCAGGGACCCCTGCTCACTCTTCTCACCCTCCTCCCAGGGAAGGATGGGCCACCAGCCACGACTGTCCTTACCAGAAAGTTCACTGCCTTGCCCTCCCCATAGGATCGCTGCTCCTCCCCTGATTTTCTCAGCTCCTTCAGATGCTCCAGCTGCTTCTGAATTTGCTTCTGGAAAAATAGCACTTGTTGAAAAGCTTGAATTTGGCTCCTGCCATCTTTAGCTGGTGCCAACTCTAGAGGGGAACATCTTCTGGTAGCAAGGCTGAGGGTGCTGCTGCCAGCAGCATGGGAGGGGTGCTCAGAAAAGAGGAGGGAGGAATGGCTGCATCGCCAAAGGCAGCAGAGCTGAGAGGCACTTCCTCTGGGCTTCTGGATTTAGCCATACCTGAAACCAGCTCCCCCTGGATCTCTGAGCAACATAAACCTGTAACTCCCCTCTTTGCTGGACTGGTTTATATTGTGTTCTTTCCATTTCCAGCCCAGGAATGCTGGCTAATGCACCAACATCCCAGAGTTGTTGGGAAAATGAAGCAAGGCCCAGTGTGTCCAAGTGCCTGGCAGAGAAGGGCCCACAGGCAGGGAGTGCCTACCTTGTGTTCCAGGGCAGCCTCCTCAATGGGGCGTACCCGGTGGCCTCGATGCTCCTGACTCAGACTGCAGATGAGGCAGATGGGCTCACGGTGATCCTCGCAAAATAGCAGCTGGACCTGCTTCATGTGGCGCTTACACTGTGGAAGGGGCTGGGGGCTTAGACTTCCCATGCTCTTCCTTTCATGGGAGGCCTGGCACCGGGGGCAGTCAGGTGAGCGGCTGCCTGAGGCCTGGGGGTGCTCAGAAGCTGCCTCAGGGCAGCTGCAGGAATCACGCACACAAATATCGCCAACAGGGTCTC